TTGGTTAGCGAAAGTGTGTGATTTTTAAGTCCCGCCTTAGTCCGTAAAACCTTACTCTTGGTAGAGCCTATTTGCACAAGAATCGTGTGTAAATAGGCACCCGGACTAAATACACAAAGTGCACCTCTAACGCCATCTCATAAGGGAACTAATGTTGCGGAATGTTTTTTCATTAGAAATCATTTTACATAAAAGAAATAATAAGTCAGGCTTAGCCTAGTAGGTTAAAGGTTAGGTGATAATTCTTGAGATTTTGGGTTCAAATCCCGGTGATTACTTTTATAAAACAATTTAGATTCAGAAATTTTTATTAAAATTTTGTTGATTGTTAATTGTAAGTGGTCGAGATTCAGTGTTACTTTATTCTGCTTTTAATCAACACACAATTGTGAGAGTACGATTTAAAATTTCATGTGTAAAGTTGTGAAATAAAAAACGCGCTCGACTCTTTACTGATCCTACTCTTTACTAAGATCCTAAAGACTAGATATTTTTCTTGTGCAAATAGGCTTTACCCTTACTCTTACCTCTTATTGATAGTAATTATGATGATGGCTATGACGGAGTTTCTTAAAAAAGACCTTGCCCTTGATCTTCATCATGTTATCAGTCGTTTCCATTCCGAAGTTTCACCGTTAAAGATGAGAGTGGAATTGAGTTTTCTCTTTTTTGACCCTATTTCACTTTTAACTTGACCGTTTTCTGTTTCATATATTTAGAGTTCTGGTTATTCTTAACTGGTACTGGTTTACAAACCATCTTCTAGCCATTATTTAGTTGTAAAACCAGTTCCTTTATTTAAGAATATATTAGAGTAAATTAAGAGTGAACCAAATAATATAATCACATGATTAACCATAACGGACATGATAGATTCCATCTAACAGCAAAAAATAGAAAGGCCAACAAAAATAAATGATATATGATTAATAGCTTGTGGGTCAACTTGGTTACCTTTCGCTCTCAGTTTTTACTCAAGGGCAAAGACCGAGTAAATGTTATTCATAAAAGTTAGTTAATTTGTTCAGGATGTGTCTTCAGTTTATATTGTTCCTTCGCAACAATTACAATACATTCATAAAATAGATTCAATGTTTCTAAAATTAGTTGGAAATAAAGAAGAAAAGACTTTCATCACAAGTAATTAACAAAATTAACCCATAAATACCTTTATATTTGTCCTCTTTTGACTTCTCAGACACAATAGAAAAGATTAATTCATTCAGTTAAATATTATTTTGGTGAAATTTTCATTAATTCATTGGAAGTTACTTTCAGTTTTATTCAACTTTCAAATTCAATGTTTGATTTTTAAAACAAGTGCTCTGATTGTGGTGACATCTAGCAAATAAATTATACAAAATGTCAACCTTTTCATCATTGATTGCCATTCAATATTTATTAATTGTTTCATTGAAAGAAAGTGTAATAACCTTCCCTTGATTATTTACCTTGTATTGACTAATATTCATTGTGATTTGTCCTTAGATTATTGAAATTTACAATTAGCTAAAGGGTAAACACGAATGACTGTGAAAGTGCAATAATGATACGAAATACTGACAACAATCAACTCATTCACACCGTCATCTTGTTTTCAACAGCTTGCACGTTTCGAGTTAAATATTTGAACTTGACCAGGTTGAAAATAATTTTAATGACTATCTCAATCATGAGTAAAGTTTGTTGAACTTAGCTGAGTCAAATGAAACATTTTAAATGTTACGCAAAGAAGCAAATGATTGTTAAGTTATTTTAATGTTGATTAAATTTAATATTGGTCATAAGGAAATAATGAAAGGTGAATATGATTTTGTTATTGTGTTGTTTTGATTTAACAGTAATATTTGTTGATTGAGATGAGAAATGGTTTGAAAGATGAGACTTTATTACCGATCAGCTTTCAAATTGTTGAAAGTGCTTGGTTGCTTTTGTTATAAGTTCATTTGATAATCCAGCTGTTTGTGAATATTCTTGGAAGGTAGGACAATTGTCTAATTCACATTGATCCATTCCGGTGGAATTACCGCCAAGATAGGTTGGAATATTATCTTCATCAACCAATTCTCGAAGAGCAAATCTGTCAATGGACATCATTTGATTACGAATGTATTTAGGGAAGAAAAATTTGATCACATGAAACATTAAACGGAATGATGTTGTCATCTCGATGAAAGCGACCCAAGCAAGTGAGAGAGGATAACGTGTTGAGTAGATTGTCAGAATATCTTTGATTAAACGAATGTCAACAGATGGATTACGACAATCGTAGATTAAAGCGAATCGTTTATCACTCTCAATCACTTTATCTCTCATTGATTCACCGACCCAAATGAAGTGCTGTAAAACCAATTCATTTAGTTCTCGAGGTCCAGTTTGTGTAGATAGTCTAATGAATAATAAAGGATGGCCAAGTTTATCATAACCATAGGGATGAAACATTCCGTGTAGATGAAGTTCACGAGGGAATGATGAAGCTTTAAGTTCACATAACGATTTTTCCTTGCGCCATCGGCAGTGATTTTTGAGTGCTTCAAATGAATCTTGAATACTCCATGAATGTGACTCTAAATAGGTAATCATTGACATTTTTTTATCGGAACGAATGATTTTAGCATCTCGAGGATCATACAGGTGGCCATTGACGGCAATTTCTTGTAAACACAATTCACGAAGCTTGTCGACTGCTTGATTAACTTCCTCTTCCTCACGAGTTAATCTAAAATAGGTAGAGTTGACAAAAGAAATGAAAATGATCAGTTAGAATGGAATCACAGTAATCACAAAATTACAAAAATTTACAATTCAGACACATAAGTAAATAAAATTGATTCTTGTTAATCCTGAAATCACAAGAACTTACCTCGTAATATTGGATTGAAAGTTTGGCGCAATTACTTCAGTCATTGTATGAACCAAAATTAAATCTCAACTGTATATATTGAACAATGTTGAAAGGTTTACTGTAAATCAATTCAAGTCAGAAGATCATCTGGAGATTTGAACGAGGCAGCTGTAATTATATAAAGGGTTGCCTTTTAGAGGGAGTCTAGTGAAAGGGGCTTAAAATGGAGATAAATATGCTCTGGTCACGTCGAGGGAGACAATGTTCAAGAATATATACTCCTTCATGGCTATCTATGAAGGGTATTCACGATCAAATACCGGAAAATCTTAATTAACCTAGCCTCAAGCTTCCAGCGAATTTTCTCGTTAGAAAAAAAACTGGGCTAAGGTGAATCGATGGATTGCCCAAAACTAATGGAATCCACTTCATATGGCCAAACTTGAGCATCACAAATGCAATAAAATATTTCAAATAAGATCAGATGTCCTTCGTCCGATGGTCTTGTAAACATTTCAATGCTTCCTATAAATGAAAGACAGAAAGAAAACACGATTGAGTAAAACTGGTAGAAGATGATTAACTTCATGTTTATTAAACTCTTGAGAGGAATATCAAGTAGCTTCGGGTATAATTAACATTTAATCAGGTCAAGGAATACTTTTTATCTTTAAAACTGTCGATATAATTCTGAGATGAAAACACGGTTTTCCAAATAAAACTTGAATGTCAACCAGCCCATTGGATCACTTTTATAATTAAAGACATAGGCAACTCTTGAACAAATTTTGTACTAACCTCTGATCCTGATGTTAACATGAGTGTAGGCACGATCATTACAAATATAAGTGTATTATCTTATTGAAACTAGATGGATAATCTATCATTGAACGATTTATCTTGAACAATCAAGGTTGGAATAGACGTTGGACAGTTAAATCAACAAGGATAATGTTATTCAGTTGAAATAGCTTATTTTCACTATTTATCAGGCACTTTCATTCAACGACTTCGATTTTGTCCTTTTATTGTAATGTTTACAACTTGACTTTAATCATAAATAATTCAAGCTCAGTAATTTCCTGATTGATATTTCACGAGTACAAGTGAAATAATCTTCTTTGGGATTTGCTTGCATAAGCGCGGGTAATTTTATCAACATCCCCTTATTTCAGGGTTGAATTTCATTTATACATTGTATTATCAGATTTTATCAAATTTTTATTAATTGTAATCGAAATTACTTTTTTATTGGATTGACCAATATTCTGTTGTTTTTTAAGCCCTCACCCAATGGGCTAAATATGTTTTTGAATTGATCAACATTTGAAAAACATTTTTGAAGCTTCAACGTTAAGTTTTGTTTATTTATTTCTCATAATGATGCCTTTTTTGTGAAGATTGACAACGATACTCTATCAAGTAACTTTGATTCATGTTTTATTCAATGAGACTTATCTCTAAACCTCAGCTTCATCTTTATCTCTTCCTTTTTGGTGTGAATTTAGGAGTCGAACACCATCCTGTGATCTTAATCCAGGATCAACTTTTGAGTTGAAAGGTGAACTGGTTTCATCACCTAAACACTCATCAGCTAAGCTTTATCTTCACCCATGTACCAAAAATATCCTCCATCTAACTAATCACATTGTCATGGATCCAAATTCTGGCGTATGAATCTTATTTTTTTACATTTGCATCCTAAACTGATAATCAATAATTAATTATACTAAAAACTAGAGAATAGCAGAGAATGACCTTACGATAAGAAACATTTTATAAAGTTAATTCAACTTCAGATACCAACCTTGCATTCAAAAATTGAAATTGAAATTATTTTCTTGAGTATGCCTTCATCCAGCATTAGTTGATTATTGATTATCATTTTGAAACTCCTTAGGTACTCAATACTTTCCACGATTTTTCAATTAACTTGAATGGAAAGTAGTGATTGCCTATTCCTGTATCTTGATCTTGTCATCAATTCAATTGAGGCCTCAAAAACTAATGACCGTTACTTTTCCTTTCGGTTACAGAGGTTGGCCGCTAGACAAGATCTAGTCAAAGGAAATGGAGTTAGGCGATTGAGTAGGGAGAGTTATATTCACCAAAATCACCATCATAATGTGCAACACCGTCCAATGACATCATCTTAATAATCAGGTTACGACGCAATGGATCCTAAACTTGAATCTTTTTCAATTTACAAATCTCTATTGTAATTGAACCAATGGATTATCATTAATAATTTTGTTTTGTTTTTATGAATAGGATTCATCATCACTCTAAATACCTAGTATCTGAAAGCTATCAAACTCCAGGTAAATATTAAACAAAAATATATATTCAATTCAATCTCCGACTTTTTTGATTCCTTCATTTCTTTACATACTAATAAATATCAATCTTTTACAGATTTTGCTCCATACAATGGTGCTAATTCAGGAGGAAATTATGGCAATCCATACGAAAACAACTATGGAAGCAGCTACGGTGGTGGTTATGGAGGAAATTTCGGAAGCTTTGAGGATAGTTATAGTGGATCTGACGGATGGGGAGAAACTGGCGGACAAGGTGACGATGGTGGTTATTAGAATCGCACTTGGCTAACATCTTAATTTTTATTTCATTCAAACTCTCATACCTCATTTTTTTATCGTAAATTGTTTTACACTTTTACCATTATCATCTCAATCATCACCTTCACTAACCACCTCTTCATCCTCATCTTCATCTCATTTGACTTTGACCACCGTTGCCAATTGCTTGTAATGCGCCATTCTCCAAATCCATCACATTCAAAGCCATTAAATTAAATCTCATCATATTTTTTAAACAAATTATTTTATTGGTAAAAAATAGAAATAAAAAACTCAACAAGTAAAATAAAATTTTTAAACACAAAAACTGTTTGACTAGTTACTAATAGTTATTGTAATTATTTAAAAAGTATTCTTTCAGTCCAAGGTAAAGGTCAAGTCTGAAGTTGGCTTCTTCCTAAAAATATGAATAAGATATAAAACAATGGGTTAGACTGGTCAATAAAAAGCAAGAATGGAAACATTACCCATAAAAAAAGCATAGAGTCACTGTCAATTTTAGGATGGTTGAGTCTCCATAAAGCATTAACCAAATTGAGGATCATTCCACCGAAATCAATTTCTTTCATGAGCTTTGAAAATTCAGCATCCAAATCAGCCATCTCCAACAATTGAAGTTCATTCAATGTACTCAAATAGTGTTTTATAAAGTAGGTTCGTCGATCTGGACCTGGATAATCACTGAAACTGAATTGCTTTTTCTCCTGCCATCGATTAGAGCAAATTTCACTGAAAAAGGTAACGAAATCAGCCCATCGGTAAGAATAGCCAGCACATTCGTAATCAATAAGCATTATTTTGCTAGCAGCTTCCTTCAGTGTTGATGAGCTTTGTCCTCTATAAGAATCGTCACTGTTTCTTGTTCTAATCAAAATGTTCAACCGATTCAGATCTTGATGACAGAATACAATTTTTGAAGGTATTTGAGTAAACAACGGAATCAACAAATCTAATTCCTCGGCATAATTGAAATTTAATAGCTTCTCTGAGAAAGCATTGACTTTGGATCCATTCAAGTAAGCAGCAAGTGCTGTGCTCTTCGTCAAACCTGATACCATTGCAGTCAAATCTAACTGGACTCGATGAGAAAATGGTAGTCGCAAGGAATGAATGGTGGCCAATTTATAAGCCAGTGCTTTGAACATCAATTGTCCTTCATATTGTTCACGAGTTGGAATGGTAGACTGATAACAATGAGTTTAACAAAACATCAACAAATGTAAAGTCTCTCATCAAGTCAACTTATGGCTAATGGGAAAGATGTAACCTTACCTGAATGTATTCCTCGATTCGTCCTCCATCGAATATTCCAATCAAATGTGGACCTAACCGTTTCTCTGAAATGATATAACTAATCAACGTTTCTTTTGTTCTTGATCTCTTTGATTCTTCTGTCCCTTCGAGAAAATCACTTCCATAGAACCTGAAGATCACTTCATTTGCTGAATCCCTTGCACTTGTTTTGCAGCGATAAATACGATTGCTCCTTCCTCCTCTGAAAAATTGATCAATCAATTTTATCAAATCTTGATTGAATTTAACAGATTCACTGAATATTTTCATGCAAAATTATCAATGAAATTGAACTTACGTTAGTCGCTGTATTGTGATATTTTCTGGGTTTGACCAAGCAGAGCTCAAAAACTCTGAACACAATTTAAAAATGTGTTGACGGATAGACTTGCTAACTGAATCATCTGAATCACTAAATGCAGCCATTGATTTTGTCTTCAACAGTAATAATCAAATTTCCTAATTAAGAAACTCTTATATATAAAATCTAACTCTAAACCAGAAAACAAAAAAAATTGCTATTAAATTGTTGTCAACCTTGTCATAATTCTAACTTATTTCTCTATAAACTGATCAATCCATTTAATTAAAAATGTCGTTAATTTTTCTTTGTTTTTTTTTGCTTAATTTCTTGCTTTTCAGTCTAATGATGATATCATTTGGTGCGAATAAGTGATAATCAGTCGCTAATCACGAGTAACTTTTAACAAGCTCACATTGACAGTCAAATAGTCCTTCATTTTAATTCAAAATTTTTTGTTGATATTTTTTCATATAACCATCACATAAATCAATTTATCATCAGACGATAAAGCTTGATAATCTAATTAGAAATTCATTTTGTGTTTACGATATTTTCGATTCGCGAGAAATGTTCACTTTTATTTTAAGGAAATATTTACACATTTAGTATCATCAATTCAGATTACAGGAGCTAATAGAGATTCGCATTTTTCTGGAAAATACAAAGAAATTACGGATGAAATATTAATCTCGGCTGATGTTAAAATGGTCAAAACATTATTTATTATAAATATAATAATTTTAATCTGAAATATTCAATGTTTTGAAAACAAATTGGTTGTTCACTCCATTAAATTAAAAGTACAAAAATGATGTCAACAAAATATAAAACTATTATTTCAGAATAAACTTGTTGATTCAATCATGTTTGGTTGTAAAGCATTAATTCAGCGACTAGACTTTACGAGCCACATTAAAAGTCTGTAACTAATTTTTACAGTCCGTACCCGTCATAAACGGTAAATTGCCACTGTTATGGATGAATGGCTTTACGAGACGGTTGCTGAATCTGTAGAAATATTCGTAAACCGGAATTAATTTTTTGTGATAAATTAGTGTAAAGAAATTTATGATTCTGTGAGATGAAGATCCATGATTTGAGTAAATTGGTCATCCTTAAATTTGCAACTGCAAAATAAAAATATGATACACTGTTAGACAAAATAAATATAAAGTAAAATCACCACTATTATTCACCTTTTGTTTGATTGATAATTTATTTGTTGGTTTTGCTGTAATTGTTACTTGACAATTATTTCTGCTGAACATCATCAGGTACACAGATTTTTAAAAGACCAAGAAGAAATTTCGATTCACCAGATAAAGGAAATTTTTCTACATAAATTGATGTCAGTACTTGATCATTAGAAACAGGTAGCAAAAAGCGAGCTCGATGCCAGCTTGCAAGAGAATCTCCAAAATTTTCTAGTGCCGAGTCACACTCTATCCTGTTGATAAACAAATAAATTCAATTTTAGCATAAATAGACCAGAAATATAATTGAAGTCATACTTTCTTTCGATAAAGCTATTTTACCTTTCAAGAGACGTTTTGTTTGCTTCTGAATTACGACATTGAACTTTAATTTTAGGTGTCATGAGGGCTTTCGAGCTACCGGTAACCTTGTAGATAAGATCAATAACCAAGCCAAAGTCAAGATTAAAGTAACAACTAAGAATAGGCTCGTTCCAATCAACCATTCGAATAGAGTGTCCACCATCAAAGGCATCTTGTAAAAAAATTTCATCTTCAACATAATTACGAGTTGTAGTGTTTGAAAGAGATAGATTAAACCACGATTTATCCTGAACTTTACAGCCATTTACAAACTTAGATAAACCAAATCCTTGACAGAAATTCGTAGAGAATGGCAATACTTTAGGAGAATGTCTGATTTCAAGTTGTAGTTCACGCCAAAATTTAATTTGATTATTGGTAAAATCATTGGGACCGAGTATCTCTAAAACCCATCCAGGAGCAAAAATTGCTATAGATAATAAATTTTCGCGAATTTTGTCAATAGCTAGATTGGTTTTGAAGCCTCCGTCACCAAACATTCCTCGTCCGAAAACATCAACTCCTACATAAACATCATTTAGTCGACCCAATGACAATGCTAGGTCTCGAGAATTTTTCAAATCGTCATCCTTCCAGGTATAGTTAAGGAATATCCCATCACAAGACTGAAAGAAATCTACATTCCGGTTATTGAGACAATTTTGCCATTTTAAGGAGCCTTCAATGGTGACTGAATCGTACCACAGAACTTGTGCTTGGTTAATTGACTGTTTAATCAGGCGTCGAAGAGTCTTTATGAAATGAATCAGCTTGGGTATAAGACTTTCTTCAATTTCATTCTCAATGTTGATAAACCATCCTTCTATTTTGTAGTGTTTTGCTAAAGCTATGAGCTTTTCACAAACAGAGTTGATTATATCGTCCGATTTCAATAATTTTTCACAAAGTTCTCGACCTATTGAACCCTCAGTTATTATTGTGCCTAAAACTGGAACACCATTGACGTGAGCGGCATTTATCCAAGTGATTGGTGGAATCGAAATGAAATAATGAGAAAAGTAGATGAAAGTGTCAACTAGATTCCAATGGAAGAAACGATAAGCTTCATGGTTATCATCTCCATCAATAAATCTAAGGAATCAAAATGAAAAAGAGAATAAACTTTCAGCTCAAAACAAAATCCAAAGAAACAACTTTGCAAGTTTAAAAGTGACCTCACCTATCCTCTAGATAACCACCTTTCATGTCATGACAGACAATAACTTTAGGGCCATCAAAGAAGACATGATTCTCTAGATCAGAAACTAATTTTGTAATATTTGGACATTGATCTGGACTCCAAGAAAGCAGTTCCTCCAAGTTTTTGATAGGCAAACATTCTTTAATCCCTGTGGTACATTGTAAATTAGGTTCAGAATGGTTCATAACTGTTCTAATCCAATAGATCACAAACTAAAATTACTTTCGATAGCAGCAAATCATGAAATAGTTTGAAAAGTTCAAAAATTAATAATAGCCTCAAGAATAGCCAATGTTTACATTAATGATTAATCGTAGTTCTGTCAATATTTACAGCTGATTTATAAGCGCCATCTCCTTGAATTATATCGAGTTAGATTAAAATTTTCAATTTACAATTAAGTTTGATTACCTGTTTTCAGCCCATATTAAATTGTAATTTGCATTGAATTGGTAAACCTCGATATCTCGTCTATGTCCAGGTCTTATGTTTACTCAAAAGTCATTTTAGCCACAAAAATGTGCGAGAATAGTGACTTCATCTTATTAAGCTTGTTAGTGTTTCGGTTGGTTAATATTTTTTTGTACAGAATCTCTAACAATTAAAATAATTCGAGTATCCATTTAGGCACAATTGAAATGTTATCTGATGGTTTCAATGGTTTTTGATGTTCCAATAAAACGAAACTTTGATTTAGGTAAACAAATAATTTCGATTTTGATCGATTCTTAATCGATTTTTGATCAAAGCAGACTCAAAATAAAATAAAAAAATAGTGAAACCAATTTTGCCTTCAGTTGATTATCATTTGGTTTAGTTTTTTATACACATTTGTGACAATTATCTCACCTCAGTGAGGGAATGCTGATGCACACATGAGGATACAAACGGGAGAGCGAGCCTTTCGTTGTCAAACTTGTGGTAAAGGATTTACTCTGAAAGGTAATCTGAAGACTCATGTTCGCTCTGTCCATTCCGACGAAAAGCCCTATGTTTGTGGTATCTGTGGTAGAGATTTCAGTCTCAAGGGTAACATGAATACTCATATGAGAACCCACAGTAAGGATAATCATTTTCCATGTCCACTTTGTGGTAAAACCTTCTCTTTAAAGGTATGAAAATTATCATTTTTTACAATGGCTCTAGTGAATTAAAATGCAGCCATATTTGTTCATGCATTCATATTGAGGTTTGCAGCTCATCTATTATTTTGCTATTAAGTGTAGGTATCCTGCTTAATTAAGCTATCTGATGTTAATGGTAGATTTTGTTGCAAACCTCGTGAAAAAAACATTCCTTTAAATAGGTGCGAATCTTATCAAGTACTATTTCAAAGGAAAAATATTTTGCAAATCCAATCTATAGCGTATTTGATTTTACTTTTGCGCTAATACTTTTCTCTCTGATTGTTCACTAAAGACACATCTAATGTTTTTATTATTGTTTATCTTTTCAGGGCAATTTAAAAGCACACATTCAAAGGCATAATGGTATCGCTCCAGTCAGACGTAATCCTCCCAAGAAAAGTTCAAAATCAGGAAACTCTAATGCTACTGTATCGAGTGGAAACAGTAGTACTCACACGGCCAACAGTAATACTAACAATAATCAAGTAAATCGAAGTCTAAGTATTCAGTATTTTAATACCGAGAAGAGTGGTAATGTTGATCGCAAACATTTTAGCTCATCAAGTAGTGGCGGACCCAATCAAGGAGTACCTATTAACAACTCAGCAGCTGCGATCTCATCAATTTTACCTATGGCCCTAACTACTCCACGAACTTCATTGTTGCATGGCTCCTCGAATCAACACCAATCTCACCAGCAGCCACACGTTTCAGGAAATGGGCAACATCAAGGAATACAATCAATGGACTTTTTCTGGCACACGGGAGTGACCTCCTGTTAATTAAAAGTTTAGTCCAATGAGAGCTCCAAATGTACTTTATTTGAGAAAGGCAAATTCAGACCAAATTAATGTCAATTAGCCCATGAAAGACTAAGAACGAAAGCAGAAATAATACGAATTAAAGCCATACACTTTTTTCAAAATCGCTATTGAAAGATTCTGTATATCATCGTAATCATCATCTTCATACTTTTAATGTAACTGTAATTATGTTTTTGTGCTACCATCACTATCTTAATACTAATAACAATATTTCAAAACATGACCATTGTATAAAACTTAATAGTCGGTAATTAAGCTTATAGTGTATCTTTAAAACTCTACAATCACTTGGTGTTTTATTAAAGTATACAATGTGCTTTTTATACAACGTTCTTATTTAAGCTCTACTTTGTCATCAAGTACTTGCGATGTTTAAAAATTAACTAAAAAGTTGCAATTTAAGAGCGAGTTACTCTTTACTCAATTTTCAAACTATGATTCAATATTACTAGATCAAGGTAATTAAGACAATTTTAACACTCAAATAATGCATTTAGGTCCAGGCTCTTTTTGTGTTGTTGTCCAACATATTGTTCCGCATTGTTTTACTTGATTTCTGTTAAGTTATTTCTTGATTTATTTCTTCTCTTTTAATTTAGTTCAATTTGTGGTTAATTTTAATTAAACAAGTGTTTATTTTTCTGTAATATATTTAAAAATAGTTAATGGTGACAAACAATCGGAAAGGTAATAAATGAATCAGCATCAACATCTTCATCTGCATCATCTTCCATCATCTTATTGGGGCTTAGCTTGCTAGCTCCTCGTCGTAAAATAATGGTCATGTTAATTGGCAATCATTCAGCGGGTAAAAGTAGCTTTATCAATTGGTATGTTGGTGATAGGATACAGAAAACTGGTGTTGCTATTGAAACTCAAGGATTCACTTTTATAACAAATGGAAAGAAAAGAGAATCCCTAACTGGAAAAGCAACACTTCACCTTCACCCTCATTTTAAAGCCTTAGAGAACATCAAAGGTCTCTCGGATTATCTTTCAACCGAAATTTCACCTTCACTGGCAAACAGATTCAACTTTATCTTTCAACCGAAATTTCCCTGAAATTTCAACTCGTTATTGTTGTTGTTGCTGTTGCTGTTGTTGCTGTTGCTGTTGTTGCTGTTGCTGTTGTTGCTGTTGCTGTTGCTGTTGTTGCTGTTGCTGTTGTTGCTGTTGCTGTTGTTGCTGTTGCTGTTGTTGCTGTTGCTGTTGTTGCTGTTGCTGTTGTTGCTGTTGCTGTTGCTGTTGCTGTTGCTGTTGCTGTTGCTGTTGCTGTTGCTGTTGTTGCTGTTGCTGTTGTTGCTGTTGCTGTTGCTGTAGCTGTTGCTGTTGTTGCTGTTGCTGTTGTTGTGGCCGTTGAGGGTTGGCGTTAATTCTGCGAAAATAATGAAAATGATTTGTTAAAACACAAACAAAACCATTTTTTCTTATACTTACTGTTGGATTTGTCTCTGAGCTCGGATTTGGCCCTGAATCTGATCAGTCTGAGCTCTTAAATAGGCTTGCATTAGTAAAGGATTAGATGCAAGGAAGTGTAACACTTGCATCTGTTCCGTTTGAGATGTTGCAGATTCATACATGGTGATCAACTGCTGCAGCACATTGTTCATTGTTTGTTGAGGTTGCAATGGAGTATCAACTCCTCTCAACTCGGATTGATTCATTTGTTCTTGCGTTTGTAACTGAAAAATAAAAAAGGGGAAACAATTACTTCATAACATTTTCGGGGAAATAAACTAAATTAGTGCAATGATGACTGTTGAACTTACTAGATGTGATGTCGATATTCTTCTTGATTTCCGTGTCTTTTCTTCACCCATGTCTTGCATGGAGAATGCTTGTTGGGAAATCTGTACTCCAGAAGAAACAGGCATTTGCTGTCTTGAGTCCTGTGGTTGTTGTTGAGACATATGTTGGGCTTACCACCAGGTTGATTCTAAAAAAGTAATGACAAAAAATTGTAAAAAAGAAAAATGATTTTTCTTCAATAACTTTAATAATTTCTTTAGTAACTTCGTGCTTAATGCTTAAAAATATGCTGGGCGATTTTATCGATAAAATCGATAGTTATCGATATTTTCTGACTGTAGCGATTATCGATTACCAAGAGCAAACATCGATGTTTTTAATCTTTTTGTTAACTTAAAATATTTTCACGTTTCAGGAAATGGGCAACATCAAGGAATACAATCAATGGACTTTTTCTGGCACACGGGAGTAACCTCCTGTTAATTAAAAGCTTAGTCCAATGAGAGCTCCAAATGTACTTTATTTGAGAAAGTCAAATTCAGACCAAATTAATGTCGTACTAATAACAATATTTCAAAACATGACCATTGTATAAAACTTAATAGTCGGTAATGAAGCTTATAGTGTATCTTTAAAACTTTGCAATCACTTGGTGTTTTATTAAAGTACAATTTACAATTTGCAGATGAATAAAAAACAAACATTTGAATTCCAAGAGAGCCAAACATGAATAAAATTCAGTAATATTCACTTATTGTCAGATCTATCTGAAAGTAAGTTTGAGATTCGTTCTTATTTCAACTCTAAGTCAACAAGTACACACAATATATTATGTTTAAAAATTAATTAAAAAGTCGCAATTTAAGAGAGAGTTACTCTTTGCTCAATTTGCAGTCTCTGATACAATATAAATAGATAAAGGTAATTAAGACAATTTTAACACTCAAATAATGCATTTAGGTCCATTTGTATTTACTATCAGGCCTATTGTTCAGTGAATTTCTAATGACAGGTTTAGTAGGTTATCTTCACAGTCACAAATTGGGTTTTGTTTATTCAAAATCTAAAAAAAGTATTATGCCAGTATTATTTGGCTGTGGATCACAATTTAGCTGTTTTACAATTAATGAGATCATTTTCACAATGAATTGGCTTTTGTGAATAAGTATTACATTTTTATGAGTGATCTGACGGTAAAAATACTGAAACCATTCTTCTTTGTCTTTGAAGACCGAAATTAAGCTTCAGGCAACATATGATATAAGAGAGACCATTTTATTTTGTCAGGTTTTCTCTGTTTGTGTTTCCAACATATTGTTACCGCATTGTTTTCCTTTCTTTCTGTTCAGTTATTTCTTAATTTATTTTTTCTCTTTTAATTTAGTTCACCTTTATTTTTGTGGTTAATTTTAATTAAACAAGTGTGTATTTGTCTGTAATATATTTAAAAATGGTTAATGGTGACAAACAATCAGGAAAGGTAATAAATGAATCAACATCTTCATCTGCATCATCTTCCAACACACCAGCTAATGCTAATATTTTAAAAGAATGTCACAGTCTCTATGTTGAAGGTGATTATGGGTTAATCAAAACTGGCCGTTTATTGGGGCTTAGCTTGCTAGCTCCTCGTCGTAAAATAATGGTCATGTTAATTGGCAATCATTCAGCGGGTAAAAGTAGCTTTATCAATTGGTATGTTGGTGATAGGATACAAAAAACTGGTGTTGCTATTGAAACTCAAGGATTCACTTTTATAACCAATGGAAAGAAAAGAGAATCCCTAACTGGAAAAGCAACACTTCACCTTCACCCTCACTTTAAAGCCTTAGAGAACATCAAAGGTCTCTCGGATTACCTTTCAACCGAAATTTCACCTTCACTGGCAAACAGATTCAACTGTGTTACTTTTATTGATACACCAGGTTTGGTAGATGGTGATATGTACTATCCTTATGATGTTGACAAGGCTATCCAATGGTTAGGTGGTATTGCTGATCTAATATTTGTATTTTTTGATCCTATCGGCCAAGCCTTGTGTCGTCGTACTCTAGATGTTGTTCAGAAGCTAAATGCTGTAAATACTGAGAAAATAAAACTTTACCTTTCAAAGGCTGATGAGGCGGGAGAAGAATCAGATCGTCAAAAAGTTATGATGCAGATTGTCCAAGAGCTATGTAAACGTCCTGGTCTGAATAAAACTGGCTTTCAGATGGCTACTATTTATATACCTGACTCACGAATCATGAGGCCAACTAACTGTATCAATCAAATTGACGATATTCATGAACAAATTGAGAAAACCATTAACTACACTGTGCAACACTCTTTGAACACTTTAGAGAAAGATTGTGACCGAATAATCAATCTAATTGACAAGAAGATTGCTGATGATGACGAGAAAAAATCCAAAAATTTACATGCTCGGATTAAATCGTCTGCTTTTCTTCTCATTTCTCTTTTCTTACCTTTTCTAATAATCTTAAGAGAAGGTAAAAGTTTAACATTATTTTCATCCATCAAACAATTGACCGGGGAAAGTGTAGTGCTACTTCTAGAAAATATACTTCAACCTATTGGTGATTTATGGAAAACTCTTCCTCATGAGTATCATTTTTATGTCCATATTGGTATAATTCTTACCTCATTGATATTCCTTGGAATGGGCCTTTACACAGCCAAATTTGTTCCTAGTTTGGACCGAAAAACTCGTAATGATTTGATCAAAAGAAAAGAATATATTCTTAGCAGGATTAAACCTCGACGATACACTTTATATAAAGAATATTTGGCTCAAAGTGTTAACGATGAAGATTTACTTGGTTAATATCAACATTTATTGATATATGGCTGATTTTAAATTCTAAACCATTAATGTTTCTATAAACTTGGTGTAGATCATGTACATAGTATTTGATGAATCTCCCTTTCTTGCCTTTTTCGTTCATCTTTAGAAAATCGGACATTTGTTGAAGTCATCGCCAAATGATTATTTTATTTCTCAAATCTATATCTATTATAACTTGGGCATCTCTCACAATATCTTTTAAAATCATCATCACAAACCTTTAATGAATGGAAATTACAACTTGAGCATTGTTTTCATTGGTTAATCTATTTTTTGATACATGTTCTTAACAAATGGATCATCCATGTTCAACTGCAACAATGGCTTATGGATAATACTTCGGTGCAAATACAGTTTCTTAGTCAATTTACTAAAGGTTGTCACAAGGTTTTAATTGTATGTTAAGCCATTGAAGATATTTATGTTAGGACACCATGATAACTAAATGTTTGAATATCTTCAATTCAAGAAACTAACATACAATTAGACTGCTATTTAGTGCTGTAAATTCAATATTGAATAACTTCAATCAACAATTCAATAAATTATGCTTATAAATGAAATTGTCTCAATATTTAACAATAGTCTAAATTTTAATAATGATTGACGCGTCTATTGGAACCAAACGGACTTAGAAACTTTGCTATCACATAAGCACCTTTGACGTGTTCCAGAAAAGATCTATGTTTTGATGCAAAATTACATGGATGATTGGGTATAAAGAATTCTCAAATGCTGATTAAATTGTAAAACACGATTCTCAATATACGAGACTAATTTCGATTTGGGTTGTTTATTTGCATAATATGTAGTTAAAACAATTTTAAAATTTAAATGAGATTGATTGTGGAAATGCAAGAAATATCTTTAAATGAATTGTGAAGCTGAGGCGATAAAATGATTTCTGATTATTTCAATATTAGTATTAATGATACATATGTATGTTACAAATACTTGCGCTAGTTAAAACATTATTTCTGTCGAAATAGTTGTCCAAGTTTCTTTAACTAGCGTAAACGTGCAAGCCATTTGAAGTCTTCAAATTTAATGTATTCACCATTTAATGAAACACAATGATCAATTTGGTAATTGTTTAAGATAATTGTTAATTTTTGATAATAGTTGATTGATAATAGTTAGATGATAGATTGATTATAGTTTAATTGTTTAATTGTTGTCTAAGGACTTGCTGTTGAGTCTGCTGGGACATCATTTGTTGCGGCTTTCCTCCGGGTTGAGTCTGATACGAAAAAATTGAAAAATAAAATAAAATTAGGAATCTGAAAATTCAATAAAATTAATTTCACAAATGGCGATACTTACATTAGGCGAGGAAGCCATAGGAATATTTTGAGGTACTCTAACAAATCTAGTTTGCTGCGGAGGTTGTGGCTGTTGATACCACTGTTGGTTACCCGTTTGAATATGCTGACCAGGTTGCACTTGTTGCATCTGAAGTTGTTGTTGCTGTGGTGCTTGCTGCTGCTGCAACTGTTGTTGTTGAATTTGTTGCTGCTGTGGTTGCATTTGTTGTTGTTGTTGCTGCTGCTGCTGTTGTTGCTGCTGCTGTACTTGTTGTTGTTGTACTTGTTGTTGTACCTGTTGTTGTACTTGCTGTTGTTGTACCTGTTGTTGTTGCTGCTGCTGTACCTGTTGTTGCTGTACTTGCTGTTGTTGTTGTGGAGAGGGGCCTTGTTGTGGTTGTTGAGGGTTGGCGTTAATTCTGCGAAAATAATGAAAATAATTTGTTAAAATTAAATTCAAACACAAATAAAATAATTTTTTCTTATACTTACTGTTGGAATATTTGATTCTGAGCTTGGTTTTGGCCCTGATTCTGATGAGTCGCACTTCTTTGTTTTAAAAAGGCAGCCATTAATTTAGGATTAGATTGAAGTATGTGTATCACTTGTTGCTGTTGCGATTGAGATGATGGAGATTTTAACATGGTGATCAACTGTTGCATCACATTGTTCATTGGTTGTTGAGATTGCGATTGAGTACTAACTCCTCCTGACCCGGATTGATTCATTTGTTGCCCTTGCATTTGAAACTGAAAAATAAAAAGTGAAAACAGTTATTTCATAACATTCTTCGAGGAAATAAACTTAAATGGTGCAATAATGACTGTTAAACTTACTTGCTGTGGTATCGACATTTTTTGTGCTTGCCGTGTCTGTTGTTCACCCATTCCTTGCATCACTTGTTGAGGAATCTGTACTCCAGAAGAAACAGGCATTTGCTGTCTTAAGACCTGAGGTTGTTGTTGAGACATCATTTGTGTGGGCTTACCACCAGGTTGAGTCTGAAAAAGTAATGACAAAATATTGTAAAAAATTGAAATGATTTTTCTTTGATTACAGTAATTTCTTGCTTATTATAAAACTTGAAAAATGCGAGTCATGTCTGACACATGCCCGTTTCAATTAAATGCGCTGTAAGCTGTCCCGCCAATTACAGAGTTTTTGACGTTTTATGCGTTAACCGAGAAATTACTGTGATACTATTTGAATCATTGGAAATTGCGCGCTCTGAACTATAGGTAATCAAGTTTTCTTGTTATAACATATTTACTACGCCAGAAGAAAATTAAATTCAAATAGAATAAGATAGTAAATTTCCGAACTCTTCAAATAAGAATCTAGGATAAACTTACATTAGCCGCGGAAGCCATAGGGATATTTTGAGGTACTCTTATATATCTAGATTGTTGGGGAGGCTGTGGTTGTTGATACCATTGCTGATTATTAGCTTGAATTATTTGTCCAGGCTGAACTTGCTGCATTTGGATCTGTTGTGGCATTGGTTGTGACTGGAGTTGTTGCTGCGGTTGCGGTGGTTGCTGTTGTTGCTGCTGTTGTTGTTGCTGCGCCTGTTGTTGTTGTTGTTGCTGTTGCTGCTGCTGTTGTTGTTGCTGCTGCTGTTGCTGTTGTTGGGCCAGAAGCATTCGTTGCTTTTGCTGTTGTTGTTGCAGAAGCTGCTGAGGATGCATTTGTTGTTGTTGTGGTGGATGAGGCTGCATTCCCATGTGTGGTCTCGGCGGTTGAGGTTGAGAGCCTGAAAAGATGAAAAATGAGCATTAAATCAAATCAATCATTTAATAAAATTAATGCAAAAAAATTATATTAAAAACTTACCTTGAGGCACAGATTGCTGTTGATATGGTATCATAGGCTTTCCTTTACCGTAAGGATTTTGTTGAGACATGACTTTTGGCTGAGGCGGTGGTTGGTGTTGTTGCTGTTGCTGTTGACGAGCAACCGCTGCCTGTACTTGCTGTACAGCTTGAAGAGCACCTACAGGTGGAGGTGTAACAGTTGCAGGTTTCATGTAATGTTGCTGCTATAATTTGAAAAACATAAAAAAGTATTAGAACAATGTTATAATAAAAACTCTCAGAAAATTTCAGGTATCAATAAAACAAAACTTACCGGTGTTTGCACTGGTGAAGGACTGTAATCATGTGTTTGAGCAGCAGGCTGAGCTGATTGAGAAATACTAGTCATTGTTGCTATTCTTCTCCTTAAGATTTGGTGTTGTTGAAGTTTCTGTTGTAATTGCTGTTGTCTTAATTTATGTTTGATATTTAAGCAATAAGGAACTGGACATTTTTGTTCATTGCAATGTTTCGCGTGATAACAACAAAGAGCGATAAGCTGTTTACAAATTGGGCAGCCTGTTGCACCCCCTCCTTGGGACATTGGTGGACCAGATTGATTAGTTTTTCGCTTACAACTTTTAGCGTGCTGTACAACTCTTTTCATCTTGTGACATGAGGGTAATCTACAATTAGCGTCACGACATTGACAAGCATGGACCAAGCTCTGAATACATCTTTGGATGGACAGACGTCTAGATTCACCAGGGGAAGTGACAGTGGATCCACTTGTACCATCTCCATGGTTATCAAGCTCTCCAGATCCACCGGCAACAACTGCTCCTGAAATAAGTTAGATTGAATGATTAAAACAATGAAAAATGTTTCTTGAGTTATATCAGGAATAGAATTTAAAATGTAAAAAGATAACTTACCGGCAACAGCACCGTCGCCATCAACACCACCAACGAGATCACCAAATCCAAGTTTTTCCATTTTGTGATTATGGCCTTCACTATTGTAACAGGTAACACAGAGGTCAAAGTCGTCACATTCGGTACAATGATATCGAGTCTCAACAACATGTCTTTTACATTTATTACAAGTATACACAAATCCACCATTGCCTAAAAAAGAGAAAAAATTCAAGTTAATTGATACCAATCGCAAATTAAAGTTTATAACAATCATACCACTGTTATGAAGTTCATAAAGTAATGCCATGGTGGAAAATTTGGCCCTTCTAAGAGTTGAAAATTCATAATGTTTCTCACGGGCCATGGTGAGAAATGCATCTCTACCATCCATTAAATCACAATTTAAAGATTGATCAGGATCATTAATAGGAGGCAAACTGGCAGCAGATTGCGTTGAGTGGAGACGAATAACGAAGAAAACTTCTTTATGCTTCTCCATAGTTTGATAGATCTTATTTGTCAACTCTTGTTCCCATTGAAGGCTGGAATTTGTCTGTGAGAGCAATTAATGAAGAGCGGGTTAAAGATGATTTCCAATAGAAAAAAAACTAATTAACTTCAAAATTTTTACATACCTGTACAACTGCAAGTTGATTGCTTCCACTTTTATGTCTTGAATGCACATTATTTTTCCTTTGTTTTTGTTTTTTATTTGATTTTTTGCTACCTCCAGATTTCTTCTGTTGCTTTATTTGATTATTACAACCGTCTTTACTATTTGAATTTTTAGAATTAAGGCTTAAAATATCAGAAGGTTTACTGCAGTTTCCATCAGCCTTGTCGCCACATTCACTCATCGTATCTATAGGAAAAAGATAAGATTTATGAAAAAAGACGTTCTAATAAAGACGAATCAATTTCAAAATTGAATAAATCGACTGATATCTTACCCATTGACTCGTCATCAGTAGGATTTCCTGAATTATTAAAAATACTATCTTGTTGAGGAGTTGATGGTTCTGCCGGAGGCATAATTAATGGTGTAATTTTTTGCGAACTTTGTATTTGCTGTTTTTGTAACTCCATTTCGATCTCTTTGATGGATTCCTCGATGACATTAGGCCAAAAATCACCTTCAAAATAAGGTAAATCAGTGGCTGACTTAAGACCATCTTCGGAAGCCTGCTTTAAAATGTCTTTATAATCAAGCACGATTCTTTCGATTATTCCTTTGTCTAACATTTTCTTATACCATTCTTGCAATCTTTTTGGTTTAGGAATTTTCTGTTCAGGTGGATGACAATGGAAGATATAATCATCTCCTTCAGAAGGAGGACATGCCCAAATATGAGCCATTGTGTACCCTAATTGTTTAGTGTAATCAAGATAACCTAATAGAATTTCATGGTAAACAGCAGTTCTATATTGCTTAGGCGAGAAGAAATGAACCGAATCAAGATAAGCTATATATACACGCCTGTAATTAGAAAAATTAAAAATAAATTAGAAATATTGTTTCGTATAAATTAATAACATTTGGCATGAAGTGAAAAAGAAACTCTGAATACAAACCTTGAATTCGGAGGACCAGCATCAGAGCCGTATTCTTGAACATGCATACCAAAGAAACATACATCTACACCATTAAAATCTTCGAAGGCAAATAAAGCCTTGGCGCGATAAGGAAACGTACTAGGTAATTCATTACCAGGCTCGTTATATTTAAATGCGTACCTAAATTGAGGAAATGCAAAAAAGTTAGTTACAGTTGTTAAAGAACAGGAATCGAAAAAAAGAGACTTACTTTTGTTTCATTAAAGATTTAACTTCCACTATTTTCTCAGAACTCGAGACAACTCTTATGGATACTTCACCAGCCCCTGTTTCTTTTTTCCTTAAAAATGTATTAACACGATTCTCGATATAGGAGCCTAGTTTCGATTGGGGTAGTCTTTTAGCACTGAATTTATTTTCTTTCTTCTTTTTGCCCTTTGCTTTAAGGCAACCATCACAAACAAATCCTTCAGGCCAAATTTGGTCAATATGCAAAACACAGATTTGGTGTAATTTACGTGCACATTCTTTACACTCCACGAAAGGTTCCAGGTCAATATGGTCATTTTTACATTCAACAAATTGGTTCTTGGGAATGGTTTGTGTACCAGACACAGTATTATCAGGACCTAAACCATCGCCTATTGTAACCGTATCACCAGGAATTTCTTGGAAACATTTTAAACAATAAGTTATCCTGAAAAATCGAATAAGAGTCAAGTTAGATAAAACAGATCTCGAAAGGTAACAAAAAAAGTACCGAAATGGAAACGTAAAACTAACACATACCTATTTTGATAATTCATATATTTAGCATCTCTAGGAATTGTACATAACTGTTTACCATAGCAGCAGAGAACTTGAGGATGGAAAACATGTTTTCTACCACAACAGTAACCTAAACTTTGCATGACAGGGTCTATTTCTTGTTCAAACACTTCGGATAACTGAAATAAAGAAAATATTTAACATTAGAAAAGAAGTGGAGATTTGCAAATTGTTGAAAGCAATAGTGACCAAGTGTTTAACTTACCCTTGTACAATATCTATACACTCTGGATGTCTTTTTGTTGTAAAGCCATGCATTATCAAACATCAGCCAAACGTCATCTACATACTGCCATGGATCTTGGTACTGACCTGAATATATTTGAAGCCCAAAGATATTAGAATTTGCCAAATTATGAATGCATTAATTTAATTTACCTGTATCAAGTTTCCTCTTAATTGTGGATAGGTCCATAGGTTTCTTAATTATGTCAAAATAATCAGGTATTTGTAACAAAGTAGGATCCACTGGTTGTCGGAATGGAAGTGATTCAGGGTCCTGTCGATAAAGTTTTTCTAGAGTAGGCATCAGAGCTTGTCTTAATTCGTCAGGTTTGAAAACCTTTCTTTGTCTCGGCCCTGAGGTACTTTTGGATATTGTTGATGAAATAGCGGACGGTGTAGATGTTGTAGTTATTGGTTGCTTAACATCAATTTCACTTTTTTCACATGGTGTTGAGACAGAGTTTATTGGCTTTTGATCTGTTGTTGTTGAAATAGAGTCTTCAGATTCTTCTTTCTTAACTTCGGGTTTAATACTATTAGAAACTGTTGACACACTAGTTTCCATTTTCATAAGTGAAGGTATACTGTCATCACACGTGGATACGGCCTCTTGTTTCACAACAGAACTAGATGTTATTCCATTAGTTGTTGATGATAATGAACTTGTTGATAACACATCATCTATTGGTTCACTTTTTATCACAACTTGTTGTTCAATGGGTTGCATTTGAGATGGAGGCCTACTGAGCTGTTGTTGATTCTGTGAGATTAAAAATCGAAAATAAATGTTAAGTAAAAATCTAAACCGAAACAAATTCTGAAGTTTAGCTAATACTGACCTGCAAGTCTACCATAGACTGTTGTCCCGGTTGCTGTGTTGGTTGTGATGTATTCTGAAGAGATGGTTGAGGAGTCTGTTTATAATAGAAATACATTAAAATTATTAAAATGTGAATATGAAAGTTAAAAGGTAAATGTCAGGGGAAGTTAAACACGAGTAAAATAAAAAAATGACAATAAGAATAGTACGTACTGGCATAGAACTCTCAATCTCATCTCTTGACATTCTATTTTGGTGAGATTGGAGGGTTTGATTGGTTAAAGCTTGGGGTGTTGAAGTTGGTACAGAGGCACACCGAGGTGGAGGTGGTGTCGCTGTCGATGTGAGAGGTTGAGGTGTTGTGGGCTGTTGTTGAAGCATTCCTTGTAAAGTGTTACCAGTATTAGAATTGGTAATGAAATTACCATTAGAATTCGACCTAATCTGTATTTGAGATGTAGCTTGAGCTTGTGGACCAGGAGGTGAAATAAAATATGAACCTGGAGGCAATTGATTAGATTGAGAGGGAAATCTAGATGGTGATTGTAATGAGACATTTGGCGGAGCGCCAGATAAATTAAGTCTAGGTCTAGGTGGTTGTGTTGGTTGTTGTTGACTGATAGATTGAGGTGTTGGTGGTCCAGCATTAGGTGTTTGAGGCTGAAGAGGTTGCTGCGCTAACATTTGTTGTGGCGGTCTATTTGCGTTTATTTGATTAGGATTAATCTGCAAGGCATTTACATCTTGGCCTGAATTTTGTGCAGCAGCAGCTTTCTGTTCTTTCCTCTTTTGCCTTTTATCCTCTAACTCTTTTTGCATCTTATAAATTTTTTCAGCTAGCAGATGATAATATTCTTCTCTGGAATTAGCTTTCTCATACATGTCCCCTTCAACTTTACGAGCATATCCTATGAATGTTACCATGCGACTATCTTTGAAAGTCGATGGGTCAGGAGTTGGGATGATGGCTTGTACTATTTTTTGCACCAGATGATTACGAAGCTCCATTGGTACCGAAGTGTGCCAATCTTTAGCTTGCCTCGGGTCAAGAAGCTGATCCGTTATTGGTGGAAAACCAGGTATTCTTCCAGTGATTTGTCCTGACGGTGGTGAAGTACTACTGGGATTATTGAAAGGTAAACCCAATGCTATGTAAGCTTTTTGAAAGTCAACATTTTGAGGCTGTTGTGAAAACTGAGTCGGAGGAGGAGGCTGAGGCTGTGATTGCGGTTGAGGCGTCTGAGCATTGGGAAGTTGGGAGTTTGGCTGAATAAGAAAAAAAGAGAATTGAATATTAATAGTCACGATAACGATAACAATGTATCAACTTACTATTTGAGCCTGTTGCGGATTAGGTAAAGGCTGATTTAATAACAAGGTGGCAACTTGTTGTTGTTGCTGCCTGCGATCAGAGGCTTGTTTTAACGGCAAACAAACAGGACAATCAGGACGAGTACAATTTTTCCAATGAGATATAATTTGCCTAGAGCTTGCACAATGAGAAACATTACATTGTTTACCTAGATGAACAAAAATAAAGAAGATAAAGAATTAATAAAGTTTGTTTACTAGTAAATCAGATTGACAAAAGGATGGAATGGGAATGATGCTTACCCGCTGTACAACCGGTCATATGGTTAAGTACATTTTTCATGGTACGACAGTGAGGCAGAGCACAGGATCTCTGTTGACCACCGGTCCCATTTTGTTGTTCTTGTTCCCTCCTTTGACACTTATGAGCATGAAGAAGTAAAACTAATTGCTGTTGAATAAGTTTCCTTTTCTCAGCTTCAGATGAATGTCCAGGTTGATTAGATTGTGGTGCAGACGTCAATTGACCAACAGCTTGTGGAGAGTTCTGTGGTTGAGCCTGAAGCAACTGAGGTCCAGGTTGATTTAATGACTGAGAAGATGGTGGTGGAGTGTATCTAAATGGACCTTGCTGCTGAGGCATTCTAGCCTGCCCTGGCTGCTGTTGAGGCTGCTGAACTTGCTGCTGCTTTTGGTTGTCACTGAAATAAACAAAAAGAAAATTGGTTAGAAATTGTGATAACAATTCGTGTAAGGAATGATAGAGGATGCAAAAAATTAGAAATTATGTTCAAACAAAGATGTGAAAAATATGCAGAGAACAACAAAGAAAAATTGAAACATACGAGTACAGTGATGAGCCAAAGTTTTGATGAGGCATATACTGTGGTGACAACAATTGCATATGGGTTTGTTGCTGCTGAGGAGGTTGCTGTTGGATATTTGGAGGATTCGTGTATCTAAGTTGATTTTGAAGAACTGGACGTGATCCCGGCACCATTCCACCGATCATTTGAGGCTGAATGGTGGTAGGGATTAACTTCTGTTGTTGTACTGATACATTGGGTGACTGGGTCTTGGCTTGGAGAAGTTGTGACAATTGTTGATGATTTTGAGCCGGCAGTGACGTTTGTTGCTGTTGTGGATTAGGCTGTTGTTGCGGTGTTTGTTGGGTCTGAAGTTGAGATGGTGGCGGTAAACTGGTGACATTTGAGGTTACAGAAGTAGTATTTACAACATTCGCCGAAGATGATATACCTATATGGGACATGGGAATATTAGAGTTTATCAGAGTAACATTTGTGGCCAGCAATGAACCATTGTTGGTTAAAGAGTCATAGGCGCTTGGAGCGTTTGAAGATGAGGATGGTGCTGAGGCTAGCTCATCAGGTAGATTGCTTTCCAGTTCCCATAGTTGTGAATCACTTGGACCAGGTAGAGAATCAGTAGAATCACTTAATTTAATCCTTTTATTGGGCGGTGGTCCTGATCCGGGCATACCATTGCCCCCACCGACACCGCTTGTCATATTACCAGCCCCTGATGAACCAACAACTGAAAAAGATGTTGACACTGTACATGTTGGACTGGCCGAAGATGAACTGGAGGCCATTGTCTCCCCTCTCTCTAGACTAGAGAGTTAGGAGGAGAAGAACGAAAGAAAGATAGAAAGAGAGAAAGAGAGATAGATGGAGTAAGAAAAGTCTCTCTCTTTTTACTTTGCTGATGCTCACAGAAGAAAAACCCCTTTCTTATACACTATACATCGCACTTTTTTCTTATCTTTCATACTTTACATTACATCATAAGATTGATCAAACTAAAATTAATTCATTTAAACAAAATAATAATTATAAAGTTCCACAAATAAATGAACTATTAAATCAAAAGTGTACATTTTACAGGCAAAACATAAATGTTTTAAGAGAGAGAAAGAGACCAAAAGAAAGAGAGTGGATACAAATGGCGTCGCAGGGACCATCAACTAATTGTGAACTTTCAAACCTCAAAATAATTCCCATTCAACTGCATGGTAAAGAATAATGACGCATTTAATCAAAAATTGATAATTAAAGGAAAATATAAACTAATAAAGAACATAGATTTGATCAACTGCAAAAAAGATTAGCAATTATGCAAATAAGTTAACTCATTAGGATGAGAACAATCAAAGAAATGAGAAATTGAAACTTTACAGATAAATCAAACTTTTCCCCTAAACTTTATCATTTCCTAATAAATAAAAAAAATGACAGATGACTAAATTGAGTGCAGATAATTAACTAGATCAAAAAATATTCACCACCACCAAAACCATTGACAATATAGCAATAAGCAAAACAAAAACGCTAAAAGATTCGCGCAAAATGCTAACTCCAGAAATGTCTCTAGAAAATAACCAAAGATTCACAGAAAATTCAACAAAGTGCCAATGGTTAACCGAACTGATTAACAATTAGACCAAATAATTAAGCATATTCGAGGAACAGGTTTTTCTTCTGGTAACGTTGGCCCAGTAAAATAACACTTTAAACGTTGAAATAGCAAAGTGAGTCATTTGGTTGATAAGGATTGATAAGAAATCAAATTGGCTTACCTCGACATCCATTTACATAGTTGTAGCTGAAGAAATATCTATTAAAATTAGGATTTCTATTTTTATTACTATAATCCATTGAATGTCAATTAAATTAAAACACAGGGTAACAGGTTGAATATATTACACAAAATTAACGAATAAATAATTAAATAATTTGTCAAAAAATAACTCAAAAAAAGCAGAAGAGTGTTTGTTGTAAGCAAAAGAAAATGGCAAAGAAGAGGCAAAATAAACAGTAAGTGTCCCTAATCTATTGAAAGAAGAGAAACAAATGAGTTAAAATTTACTAAAAATTTGAATTGTTCTATCTTTCTTTTCCCATTGGCAGTGCATTAACGGATTATCCTTGACAACTTCAATTTTTGTTTACTTGGAGAAAAATTTGGTCAATCCTTAAATGACAATTAGATGCTAATTGTCGGCCATTTTGCGCACTATGTTAATTAAACAATCACTAACCAAAATACCAGATTGTAATCTTACTCTCAACAATCTCTACATTTGCAGATCAAAATCTAGTGTCAAGATTCACTTTTCAACCCATTTTCAAGTCTGTCTTTCCATAATTAAAGATAATATCAATCAAAGAAAATTGTAACCGATCTAACAATTATAAGCTAAACAATTAGATTCTTGATAATGGCCTACGAAATTGGTTAAGCGAATGTATTCCTCAATTCTCACGGTAATTGATTCTATGCAAGCCAGTTTTCATTTGATTATTTCAATCAGAATGAATTGCCAATTTCAATTTTGAATTATCTGCTAATAAATTAGCGACACTCGGTGTTTATTCCCAATGAACCTTAATCACTGGCTGTGTTATGTTTTAAACGTAAGCAAACGCTTCCTAATAACTCAATAGTTAAAGCTTTGCGTTATTTCTGACTTTCTTTCAGCCATTACCGCGAATTTAAATATTTGAATTAAATAATAAAATTATTGTTGCAATCAAGTGTTTGAATAACATGTTGGTTGATTTAATTTGACAGTACGAAGTTGATTAACAGTTCGGAGTCGTTGAGCAAAACAAACACAGGTTAACTTTGAAGTACCAGAAATATCCTGACCTCTACTAACACCAGAAATCAACTGGTTATCGATTTCATGGAGAAACATATTCATAAAAAGAACGCAAGTTCAGAATTTCAACATTCCATGTTGTTATGAATCAGATAAACAGCCAAACTCAGATTTTAAATTCAATGGATCAACAAAACAAACCCAAAGAGTTAAGTAACTAAAACTGATTCGTTTCATCTGGAGATTATCATTTAACTGCATTTCGAGAATATCGCAATCAAATTAAAAATTGTAAATCATCAACATTTCGACTAATCATCGATCCTGTTAAATCCCATAGAAATGAACATGATGATGAACCCAAATGTTAAGACATAACATGTAAGTTATCAACAGAAATAATCAAATATATTTGATACATTAAACCAAAATGATTATCTGAATTTCATAATAAACGATTATAGTGCCAAGAATTATTTTCATGCAAATCAATGGATTTATCTGACAAATGCATGGAATGGGATTTTTTGAAATCAAAATGATAACCTCCACTCCTCATTGCACTTTTGTTTTACTGACAATCATTTTGTGAATATCGGTCTTCAATATATAATTTCAAGATTTTGTTCAGATTTTATTGATATACAGATTTATTAATTTCTGTTGTTATTATTAATGGGTGAAAATATATTTTTATTGAATTTCACTTATTTTGAATAGGCCGCTTCTCCAGACTGGTTAATTTTTGACAGCATTCTTCATGTTTCCACTTTTCCAACAGATGATCTTGTTATTAAGTGAAGCTTTTCATTTTAATTTTCTATCTCATTAGTGTAATTACAGAATCAAATTGTTGAACTTGATTGCAGATACATGTCTTATAACTTTTGACCTGTACTCGTATCTATCTCTATTAGCTCAATCATTCGTGTGTATCATGCTTTTAAACCATCATACTTATAGAACTACTCATTTCAAATATTGTTTTTCATTTTACACAAATCTTTTGGCAGATGAAATTGAAATAGACACAGAATTAAGTGTATAAAATGCATTGGATGCAGTTTAATTTAAAAAAAATAATTCAAATGCATACAATAAATTAAATGGAGTGAAAGTGATCCATTGGGGCAGTTTGAGTTTGATACAGAATTTGACTCTCTAATTCAGTCATTGATTCTAACTAATCGAGGTAAATTTCTTCCATGGCCATCCAAGACATATTCATATTATATTATCTGCATATAATATTTGATGAGATTTGATGAATCAAACGAGTTTGATTTTTTAGGATTTACGTCGAAACCATATTAGCTAAAAACTTTCACTCCGGTTGAAGTATCTTTGAAATTATATAGAAAAGTTGATAGGCATAGATTGATAAACTAATTAAAGATAGTTATTTGAGCAATTTGATGAGTGGGAAATATTAGACAGAAGGTAAATTCATTTTCTAATGAACAAGTCGGTGCCATTATTACTACCATTGATTGTTGGCAAAAGTTTGATTTATCTGGATAACAGAAAGTCTTCAGTAGAAGGTGGATGTCGAGGGAAAAGCTCAGCAACAGTCATTTTTTTTGAATCTTATAAATTTCTTCACCTAGCAGCTGATAATATTCATCTCTGGAATCCGCCTCCTGATATATGTTTCCTTCGACATTACGAGCATATCCTATGAATGTTACCATGCGACTATCTCTTGCAGTCGATGGATCAGGATTTGAGATGAGGGCTTGTACTATTTTTTGCACCAGATGATTACGAAGCTCCATTGGTACCGAAGTGTGCCAATCTTTAGCTTGTATCGGGTCAATAAGTTTATCCGCTATTAGTTTAAAATCAGGTATTTGTTCTGACGATGGTACAGTACAACTGGGGTTCTTGCAAGGTAAACCCAATACTGGGTCAGCTTTATGAATTTTAACAAATCGTAAAATATGAGTCGTCTGTCCAGGTTGATTCAATGAATGAGAAGATGATGGTGCGTCTCGGCATTGACAGCACTGCTGAGGCTCTGAATTTTCCTGAAACATTGTATTTCTGAGAAGCAAATCACAGGGTCACAGGTTGAATATAATAAACAAAATTGACTAAAAAATGATTAAACAATTTGTCAAAAAATAACTCAAAAAAAGCAGAAGAGTGTTTTGTTGAAAGCAAAAGAAAATGGCAAAGAAGCGGCAAAATAAACAATAAGAGTATCATAGAGTACTCTAGTGGTCAGGGTTAAGTTAACAAAAAATGGTCACAGGTAAGTTAATTTTAAGTGTCGCCATCTGCAAGTTCATCGTTCGCCAAGTCCAGAATTGCCAACATTCCATGTTGTTATGAATCAGACGAACAGCCAATCTCAGATTTTGAATTCAATTGATAACAAATAAACCCAAGAGTTAAGTAACTAAAACTGATTCGTTTCATCTTGGAGATTATCATTTAACTGCATTTCGGGAATATCGCCATCAAATTAAAAATTGTAAATCAACATTTCGACTAATCATCGATCCTGTTAAATCCCATAGAAATGAACAATCAAAATTTTAAGACCTAACATGTAATTAAACACTCATCAGAAATTATGAATTGCTATGTTATGGATAGAGACCGTCGTTTACTTTTGATCTATTGAACCAAAATGATTATCTGAATTTCATAATAAACGATTATTGTGCCATGGAATAATTTCCATGGAAATCAATGCATTTATCTGACGAATGCATGGAATGGGATTTTTTGAAATCAAAATGATAACCTCCACTCCTCATTGCAATTTTGTTTTACTGACAATTATTTTGTGAATATCGGTCTTCAATATATAATGTCAAGATTTTTTTCAGATTTTATTGATATACAGATTTATTAATTTCTGTTGAATTTCTGTTGATATTATTAATTCAAAGAGCGAAATGAATTTTTATTGAATTTCACTTATTTTGAATAGGCCGCTTCTCCAGACTGGTTAATTTTTGACAACAGTATTCTTCATCTTTCCCCTTTTCCAACAGATGATTTTGTTATTGTTTTTCATTTTGCATGAATCTTTTGGAAGATTAATTTAAAATAGACACACAATTGAGTGTAGAAAAATGTATTAACTGCAGTTTAATTTTGATACAAATAATTTAAAATGTAGACATCAAATTAAATAGATAATTGAAAAAGGAATTTATCTCGAAGGATTGACTTTTTTTGCACCACATCCATTCCGTTACTGGCAATGGTAAAGATGACTTTCCAGGCCACTAAATTCATTATATTTAAATGACTGGCTTTATTTTTTGCATATTAATTTAATTTAGAAAGATTGAAAGATTCAATCAATTTCAAAGTGATCCACAACCAATTGGATTCATAGTTGATGTAAAAATATTGTTGATGACTTAAGTGAAATATGTGGCGAAAAAATCAATCCTTTGAAATGAAATCCCAATTGAACTAAATGAGAATATAATTAAAAAAATAATTGAAGTTAAATTGAACAATAAACAAATAAATTAACCAAAACGGGGAAACAAAAGTAACACAAAGTATGAAAACCTATTGACCAGCATTGTAACATAGGCTCGTGAAATCACAATCAACCAAAATTTAAGTTATTCAACAGGTATTTGATTGTATGGGTTCACCTCCACATTAATCCAACCAGTACAATATAATTGTTTGTATGAACCAAATTGTCCATTAATTAGAATTGGATCCACTAATCCAACCAATATCCATCTCCAGGTAAATCCAAAAACAGCAAATAGACAATTAACTATACATTATTATTGTCAACATTGGGGCAGTTTGAGTTAGATACAGAATTTGACTCTCTAATTCAGTCATTGATTCTCACTAATCGTGTTTAAATTTAATTTTCTTCTTTTGCCATTCAAGACATCTGCATATTATAATTTAAATTTGATCAGATTTGATGAATCAACCAAGTTTAATTATTTTACAATTGAAATGTTTACTATAAACTTTCACTCCGGTTGAAGGATGTTGGATATTGTATAAAACAATTGATAGGCATAGATTAAAAAATTAATTAAAGATAGTTATTTGATCGATTTGATGAATGGAAAATATTAGACAGCTGGTAAATTAATTTTCGAATAAAACTAGTCGGTGCAATTATAACTACCATTGATTGGTGGCAAAAGTTTGGTTGATCTGAAGCACAGAAACGTCAAGAAGTCTTCAGTGGAAGGTCGATGTCGGGGGAAAAGCTCAGCAACAGTATTATAATTTTTCGAGGCAGATTTTACTGGACTTGATGCTGCAATATTATTAACCGAACTAGAAGCAAATTTTCTTTGAGCGTGGATTTTAAGCTTTTTAGATTTACTACTGGTTGAATCGTTAGATTGAGAATCTTTATTACTATGTTGGTCATCATCAGGATGCTCATGGCTTTCCGAATCTTCAGATCTGCTTTTATCGACCTTATAAACACCATTAACATATTTGTTACTGCCATCACTTCTATCCGCTCTATTAGCTGCACGTTTAGCTTCGAGAAGAGATTTTCTCAATGCTTTCTTCAAATCATTTTGCTCTTTATAAAAAAGAACGCTGGTCTGTTCTTGAGAGAATAGAATCTAGAGTGAAAGAAATAGAAAGAAAATTGAAATCAGACGATAAAATAGAGAAAGTATTCATCATGATATGTGTGAATATCAATTGTTTGTAATCTGTCGATATGCCAAATCAATTGTTTTCCATTATGACGTTGAAACAATCACAGTGATGAAAAGACACATAGTTGAAGGAAATAAAAGATAATCTTACCTGAGCCCGTAATGCAGCATATCGTTTTGGTCTTGCTTGATCCGATTGGTCCGATTCCTTCTCAACAGTGTCCCCATCATCAACATATTTAGAATCACTTTCAACTCTGTCAGCTCTACTAGCAGCACGGCGAGCTTCAATAAGAGATCTTCTTAATGCTTTCTTTAAGTCATTTTGTTCTTTGTAAAAAAGAGCACTAGTTTGATCTTGACCAAAGAAAGTCTAGAAAAAATAACAAATAAAAAATACAAAATAGAAAGATATCAAGACATGGCAAAAGATGAGAACGCCCGGAAGCATGACAAGGTAACAAGGGATATTTAAAATATGTGAAATTTAAGTAGCATGAAATTATCAAATTGATGATAATTGTGATAATGATTGAAAAAATATTACTAACCTGAGCACGTTGAGCAGCATATCTTTTTGGCCTACAGTTTTTGATATTTGCCATTGGATATGGTGTTGAGTTAAAAGTCTAAACCGTTGATGAAAGAAGAAAGAGGAAACAATGACCAATAGAAAAAGAGGAAGAAAGGAAGAGAGAGAGAGAGAAAGAGAAAAAGAGAGATAGAAGATGAAGCGGATTTGATTTCTTACATCAGAAGAGATCAAAGTGAAAATATAAATAAATTAAATAAATTAAATAAACAAGGAACACAATAATTACAAATTAATTGTTACAAATCTGATGAAGAAGGGGAAGAACCACAACCAAAGAATCTGTCACTTTAAATCTATGTTATACTCTTTACTCGGCTCGCTCTGTGATTTGTGAACCAAAACAAAACATCTGGAAGTTTACTTTTTTTTCTGTAGATGGAGACTAGGTAATCTGGTTAACTAACCAGAAAAATACCGGATTTTCAGAAATTTAAATCTCTCAGGTAGACCTTTAAATTTTAAATCATTCACATTCACGATAATTGCTTTTTAAAATCAACACCTGCAATAGCAAATTTTGATTGTAACTGACAGAAAATTTTCCAATATTCAAGTTTTGCTCGGAATTTTTTGAATTGGTAATGATTATTGAGATTAAAAAAATGCTTCGCTAATTTGATAAATCAAATCAGTAAAAGTTTGATGCTCTAGTGTCAAAAATTTATGTCGTGAAATTGCTCATGGAAAAGTATCTTGAACGACTAAAAACTTTATTTAAAATTAGATACAAAACATATTAAGTTAATTATTTAATTAAAAATTTCTATTCCTTCAAGCTTATCCCTCCATTTGCAATAAACCAATGTAATTAGCTCGAATCAGAGTATACTGTGTATGAGGTTCAAAATTTTAATATGATAAAATTCATTGATTGTATTGAACTTATAAAAAAATTCTAGATTCTGAAGCTAGCCGGTTGATTGAGTAGTGACCGGCTTAGACGCCTCATGGCGGCGGGTGTGCTTGGAGTTTTCTACAAATCGATATATCATTGGAATCATCGATAAAACAATAATTTTGTTATAATCGCTCATCTCAAGGTATGTTGGTTCAACTTGTTGGTCATTAAGACATTTAATTTTTTTTCTCGTTCTTTCTTATTTCTGATTAGATTGAAATGTCAACTACAAATCGTTTGATTGATTTATGTCGAGGTATCAAAGGCAAAGCTTCATCAAATTCTTCAGTGATCAAAAGCCTAACTGAGATATTTAAAAAATATGGCTTGCATCCGAATGCTGCAAAAGCCACGCTATCATCCAACAGTTTGCTACCAAAATCATATAAACTTCGTGTTGATTGGAGTCATACAGACTTTGAGTCCATTGAAAAAGTGAATTTTTTCACTGAATACATGGTTAATTTGCAAGATGATGGAAACGTAGATAAAGTTATTGCCTTGAATAATCTACAAGATGTAAGTGAGGAATTAATTTCAGTTACCTCGCTTGACAATCAATGGAAAGCTGTCGTGCGTGAAAAAATTGGAAAAGACAAGAAAAGCAGTCAAGTTATTGAATTTTGGACAAAAAAGGGAAAGATTAAAACTCTTAATGGAGATAAAGATAAGTCTTTCGGTAAAATACATTGTTCACCAACTTTTGGTAAAATGAGTTGGTCTCCAGAAGGATCACAGTTAATGTTTATTGCCGATAAATACAAAACAACGTCTGGATTTTTTGAGGAATCGAAAAAGAATAAAGACAATAATGATGAATCAAAGAGTGATTTGGATGAAAATATAAAACCAAGTGGTCAAGGAGAAGAATACTTGTTAAAAGAGGATTGGGGGGAACAACTTGAAGGCACCTATAATCCGATTGTTTGTATTGTTGACCGCAAAGATGATTATAGAATAAGAACGATCGAAGTTCCCGGAGTCTCATGCAGTGAAGCCTTTTGGATAGATGATAAAACAATTGGTTTTGTTGGTATAATGGAGGAATCTCGTCGATTAGGACTCATATTTTGTCCTATCCGAAAGTCATGTCTATATAAATGTGACTTGAGAGATCCTGAATCAGAGCCTGTTTGCATTTATGGAAAAAATAACAGCATTGCACTCAGAAGTCCAAGAGTCAGTTATGATTCCAAGAAAATTGTTTTTCTTTGTAATCCACCATCAGGACCACATTTCCAAGCATCATCATTGGTAGTTTTGAATTTGGAAGATTCTACATCAAAAACTTTAATCAACACTGATAATTTGTTACCCAATGAAATTGAGGATCCTACCGAAATCAGATCACTTTATTGCATATATTTGCCAAATCCATGTTGGTTATCTGATAATAAAAGCATCATAGTGGAGGCCAGCATGGGTTACAGAACTCATCTATTTCATATCAATTGTGAGACAGGTTTAAATAAACGCATTGCTCTACCTGGTAAAGTGGTTTCAGTTTTGTCACTGTTGGATGATTTGGTTGTTTTAAAAATTTCCGAACCTAATCGTGGAAATAATTTACAAATAGGTAAACTAAAACACAACGATAATCAACTTGCCTTAATCCCTATCGATCCAAACTATGAAGTTAGAATAGATGATATGGAATATCGATGTGATATCTTAGAAAAAATTGACCCTTCAACTAATGATAAACAAATTGTTACATCTGTTTACATAAGCCCAAAAGAGCTGATGGATAAACCAAGTGCAGCTATTTTACTTCCCCATGGAGGGCCTCATTCACATTTTGAGGCGTCATACCTCAGTACAGTTGCAGCCATGGTTGAAGCTGGCTTTAAATTAATTTTGGTCAATTACCGTGGATCAACTGGCATCAACTCTGCTCATGAAAAGTTTCTGTGTGATAAAGTTGGAACAACTGATGTCGAAGATTGCATTCATGTACTAAAATATTACATCGAAAAATCACAGATTGATCCAAAACAAGTTTTCCTTCTCGGTGGAAGTCACGGTGGATTTCTAGTTACCCATTTAATTGGACAACATAGTAATTTTGGATTTAAAGCTTGTAGCGCTCGAAACCCAGTTACAGATCTTGCCAGTGGATTTGGTACTTCTGATATTCCTGATTGGCATCTTGTCGAGGGACTTGGTGATCTAAGCATTTACCCATTGAATACTAAACCAACACCAGAATTATTGAAAGAGTTATTGCTTAAGTCTCCTATTTTTCATATCGACAAAGTAAAAACTCCAGTTCTAATGTGTCTAGGTACTAAAGACAAGCGAGTTTCAATGAGCCAAGGATTAAATTACTATTATGGATTAAAAGCACGCCAGATTGAAGCAAAATGTTTGGTTTATGAAGACAATCATAGCTTAAGCAAAGAAGCGCATTATTTAGATATGTCAGTGAATACTATGTTATGGTTTCTCGATCATCTTTCGTCCACTTCTGAGTAATTGAATATTTCCACTGGATATTTGTATCTTTTTGTGTATAATGAATACTCTAGAAATAAATGTGCAAAAGTCATGAAAAATTCACTTTAATTCTGTAATAACAACCATTTAATTTTATTCCATCAGTTTTTGTGTTGATTCAAGATTATCCAAAAAAGGCTGTGACATTATAATTCTTGAATGCTTAATTCATCCAGGTAATTTTACGAGTATCGCCTTGCAAGATTAAACATAAAAATTGTTGGTTGATTCAATCGACGAATAATCGAAATTTTTATTTTAACATTTACTTACACTAATATTTAAAGTAAAAATCACAATAAACATTTATTATATTTTACAGACTTTTATTTGATAGGTTATCAATAATATGATGGGCAGCTATCAAAAGTCAATTTACTTACTAATAAAAGTACTGTGTTAATTTGATCAAGTAATCAGTAGAATTTTGATGCTTAAGTGTCAAAAATTCATGCCGCAAAATTGTTCATGGAAAAGTATTTGAAAGTCTGAAAACTTTACTGTAAGATACAAACATATAATGTGTATTATTGAATTAAAAAATTTATAATAATATTCTTCAAGCCTATCACTCCGATTGCGCTTAGAATCCTCATGGCAGCAAGTGTGCTTAGAGTTTCTTCAAATCAATACATCATTGGAGTCATCGATAAGCGATGAATTTGCTATAATCGCTCATCTCTTTGTGTGTTGGTTCAACTCGTTGGTCATTAAGACATTTAAATTTATTTTTCTTGTTCTTTCTTAATTATTGTTAAGTTAAAATGTCAACTACAAATCGTTTGATTGATTTTTGTCGAGGAATCAAAGGCAAAGCTTCATCAAATTCCTCAGTCATCAAAAGCCTAACTGAGATATTCAAAAAATATGGCTTGCATCCGAATGCTACCAAAGCTACGCTATCATCAAATAGTTTGCAACCAAAATCATATAAACTTCGTATTGATTGGAGTCATACTGACTTTGAGTCAATTGAAAAAGTAGGTTTTTTCACTGAATACATGGTTAATTTGAAAGATGATGGAAACGTGGATAAAGTTATTGCCTTGAATAATCTACAAGATGTAAGTGAGGAGTTAATTACAGTTACCTCGCTTGACAATCAATGGAAAGCTGTTGTGCGTGAAAAAATTGGTAAAGACAAGAAGAGCAGTCAAGTTATTGAATTTTGGTCAAAAAAGGGAAAGATTAAAACTCTTAATGGAGATAAAGATAAGTCTTTCGGTAAAATACATTGTTCACCAACTTTTGGTAAGATGAGTTGGTCTCGAGATGGATCACAGTTAATGTTCATTGCCGATAAATACAAAACCACGTCTGGATTTTTTGAGGAACCGAAAAAGAACAAAGACAATAATGATGAATCAAAGAATGATTTGGATGAAAATATAAAACCAAGTGGTCAAGGAGAAGAGTACTTGTTAAAAGAGGATTGGGGGGAACAACTTGAAGGTACCTATAATCCGATTGTCTGTATTGTTGACCGCAAAGATGATTATAAAATAAGAACGATCGAAATTCCCGGAGTCACATGCAGTGAAGCCTTTTGGATAGATGATAAAACAATTGGTTTTGTTGGTATAATGGAAGAATCTCGTCGATTAGGACTCATACTTTGTCCTGTCAGAAAATCATGTTTATTCAAATGTGACTTGAGAGATCCTGAATCAGAACCTATTTGCATTTATGGAAAAAACATCAACATTGCTCTTAGAAGTCCAAGAGTCAGTTATGATTCCAAGAAAATTGTTTTTCTTTGTAATCCACCATCAGGACCACATGGCCAAGCATCATCATTGGTAGTGCTTAATTTACAAGATTCAACAACAAAAACTTTAATCAACACTAATTGTTCGTTACCCAATGAAATTGAGGATCCCACGGAAATCAGATCACTTTATTGCATATATTTGCCAAATCCATGTTGGTTATCTGATAATAAAAGCATCATAGTGGAGGCGAGCATGGGTTACAGAACTCATCTATTTCATATCAATTGTGAGACAGGTTTACATACACGCATTGCTCTACCTGGTAAAGTGGTTTCAGTTTTGTCACTGCTGGATGATTTGGTTGTTTTAAAAATTTCGGAACCTAATCGTGGTAATAATCTACAAATAGGTAAACTAAATAACAATGATAATCAACTTGCCTTAATCCCTGTCGATTCAAACTATGAAGTGAGAATAGATGATATGGAATATCGATGTGATATCATAGAAAAAATTGATCCTGCAACTAATGATAAGCAAATAATTACATCTGTTTACATAAGCCCAAAAGAGCTGATCGATCAACCAAGTGCAACTATTTTATTTCCCCATGGAGGACCTCATTTACATTTTGTGGCGTCATATATTAGTGCAGTTGCAGCTATGATTGAGGTAGGTTTTAAATTAATTTTGGTCAATTATCGTGGATCAACTGGCATCAACTCTGCTCATGAAAAGTTTCTGTGCGGCAAAGTTGGAACAACTGATGTCGAAGATTGCATTCATGTACTAAAATATTACATCGAAAAATCACAGATTGATCCAAAACAAGTTTTCCTTCTCGGTGGAAGTCATGGTGGATTTCTGGTAACCCATTTAATTGGACAACATAGTGATTTTGGATTTAAAGCTTGTAAAGTTAGAAACCCAGTTACAGATCTTGCCAGTGGATTTGGTACTTCTGATATTCCTGATTGGCATCTTGTCGAGGGATCTGGTGATCTTAAAATTTACCCATTCATCAAACCAACACCAGAATTATTGAAAAGGTTATTACTCAAGTCTCCTATTTTTCATATCGACAAAGTAAAAACTCCAGTTTTAATGTGTCTGAGTACTAAAGACAAGCGGGTTTCAATGAGCCAAGGATTAAATTACTATTATGGATTAAAAGCACGCCAAATTGAAGCAAAATGTTTGGTTTATGAAGACAATCATAGCATAACCAAAGAAACGCATTTTTTAGATATGTCAGTGAATACTATGTTATGGTTTCTCGATCATCTTTTGTCCACTTTTTAGTCGAATATTTCCATATTTGTATCTTTTTGTGTATTAATATAATGAATACTCTAGTATCTCCTTGTAAGATTGAACATAATAATTGTTGGTTAAATCAATTGACGAACAATCAAAACTTTTATTTCAACATTTGCTTACACTAGACAAGTTTTAACGTATGTAAAAATCACAATAAACGTTAGACTTTTATTTTGCTTGGTGATCAATAATATGATGGGCAGCTATCGAATTTGTTGAAAGTCAATTTACTTTGGCCAACTCCATTTTTAGCCAATAAATCAACCAATTTGCTTTGAAGCTCAGCATCCAGTGTAGGTGTTCGAGAGAGGATCCATGCAACACCTGAAAATTGAAACATTTATAAGATATCTCACGCAGAATGAGCCTTTGTATGAACGATTTTTTTCCAAATTTTGACCTTACTTTGTAGAGGACGAAAAAATAATGAGATAAATATTTCTGCTTTTGTTTCGCTGGTGCAGGTAATGATATCATACGTATCTCATTATTTTTTGTACTCTACATTATAAGCTCGAATAAAATCGAAAAAAATCGTACAAGCAAGGGCACTTCCCTTGTCAGGGAAAATTCAATTTCAAAAAGGTAAACTCACGTATTCTGACAAGTAAGAAGGGAAACCAATAACCAAATGGAGGAAGTTCAGAGCAACCAAGTACAATGGCGTAGTTATCATAATCAGTATCAACAACTGTATAGCCATAAGCAACTGAAATGCAAAAAAGATGGTCAGTCAGTTTCTAATGGTTTTAAGAGAACAAGAAAAAAGATAAAATAAGATAACATCGAAACTTACGATCGATGTCCAAAATATCAAAATTTCCATATTCAAAAACAGTTTGATCATCCCACATCTGAAGATTGCCAATATAAATGTATTCATTGTTTCTGAAAGAAATGGTTGTTGATGAATTTGTGTTTAACTCTAGTTGTTTCAGCTATTTAATAATTGTCATTATATTTTGAGAAACTTTACAAAAAATGGACTTACTTGTCATCGAAACCAGTTTGTGTTACTGGATGGCCAGATAAATAAGATGCATTGGATGCAATATCAAAGGTAACACACCGGAGACCCTTTTCTGTACCACTTTCAACTCGAGCGATTTCATACCATTTACCATAAAACTGAAAGTTAAAAAACAGTTTAGTAACAATTAAGGATTAGACTGAGGATTAAATTACCTTTGCAGCATCAGATGGGCTGAATGTAGTAGGAGTTGGACAGGTTCCGATGTCAAAAATTTCACATGAAATTGAGCCAAGATAGCAGGCTAAAAGGATAAAAAAGATTTTGTTGGACATTTTTTTACTGAAATGGTTCCTATTGCAAACAAATAAAATATACAATCAATTCAACTTGCTTCTGTAAATTTATAATTGAACGATTTGCGTACTTAACTTTCAACTACATTCAATCAGATATGCAATCAAATTGATTTCTCTTTTCATTGTTTCATCTAGATTTTAGCGATAGCTTCAGAATATATGATAATAGCGAATTTATCAAATTCATATCAATTTGCTGAAGAAAAATTACAGAAACAGACAGAAAAATCAATGATCGATTCCGATGAAATTTCATCTTAACAATGGAAATTCTGTTATAACAATTTACATTGTATCTCCTCTTAGTGATAAGTGTTTAATTGCATTAGAATGGGGTGGATTTGATGGAGATAATTTAATCGATTGTTCTAGTTAAAAACTCATTCTGAACTTATTTTCAACTCATTTCGAGCTCATAATCAATTGTTAATCAAAACCTTGGAAAATATTCTGTAAGTATTTAAACAAATAAGCTAAATGCAGCAACAAACGTAAAGACATAACAAAAGTGAATCCAACCAAATAAGTAAAACCGTTGAAAATGATTACTAAAGGTTATATTTTGCTTCTTTGCTTCATTGCTTCTGTTTGCTGTGAAGTTACCCTGCCTGGTCCATGTCCCAACATTCCAGCTCCAGCTAATTTCTCATGGAAAAAGGTAAGTCATTCATTATCATATGATACAACTAAACACGTAAGAGTTTTTCTCGTGCCAGTGAAACTAATCTCAACTTTCAACTTTCAACAGATGGAAGGATCCTGGTATGTCCTGAAGGAAACAAAAGATGAAAACGGTGATCTTGAAAACTGTCCAGTCGACACATACATTTTCCGAGATAACAGCTCCGTTACATATTTGAATGGATTCCATTTGGGAGGGTCAGTTTCAATTTCGGTGTTTCCTGATTCTATTTTATCATTATATTTGTTGTCGTCTTTTTATCAGGTACACACGAGGTGAAGGTGGCCCTGGACTGATTGACCAGTCTCAACCAAATAAAATAACCATCAAATTCACACCAAGTATGTCAATTTCAGTGAAGATTTGATTATGTCAATATTTCATTAACGTTGATTCATTATTTTCAGCTGGAAAGAGCTTCGATAGATATGTTGTGGACACTGACTATGAGAATTATGCTGTTCTTATCGGCTGTAAAGAGAAAAAAGGAAATCACTTAAGTAATTGCATTTAATTTTCACGTAATCTCGATGGTTAAACTTATCATGTTTTTTCTGCATTTGTTTACAGTCCATGCTAAATTATTAACAAAAAGCCAGACTCCTCCAGCTCAATCAAAACTGGCTGCATACCTTGCTGTACAAAACTTAGGAGTTCCAGTGACTTCTTTGATTAATAATTACGATCAATACTCATACTGTAATGGTTATCCTGACTCTAAAGCCAATAGAGGAAAATCCCAATCCTAATGGAAAGCGACATCGAAAAGTCAATTTGTTCATTTATGTTGAATCGATCCAATAAAGTCTTTTTATTCATTTGATATTGAATAATAAACCAAATTGTTGAGCTTTACATTTTCGTTGTAACACAGAGAAAGCTTCTGAAACCTGTCGAAAAGATGAAAATTGAATTCATTAGTGAAAGTTGAAAACTGAGAGAGAATAACAAATAAAATCTGAACCGGGAGATGATCCTTGGTTAACAGCAGACTATATCTCTTATGAGCATAACACCTACTTAGTACTTTAAAATGTTCCCACCAACCGATGCAAACGATATGGCGATCAAGATGATGATGATGGCGATTATCTGTAGAAGTGGTATTACACATCATTTCACAATTAAAATAATCAGCAAAAAGTTAAAAAGAGAGGGACAAAGAACTATTTTGAAGGGAAAAAAGAGGTAAAATAATGAAAATAAAATGAACGACTAAGCAAACAAAATTTGCAATCGTTGTCCTTGAGAAGAGGAAAATTTGCCTTGCATTTTTTAACTGTTAACACATAACAAATAGAATAAGCTGAAACAAAATGAATTTCATGATGGAGGATTCATGTTGACATAATAATTGTATGAAATAATGGATAAACTAAATTTCAATTAAACAAAATTGTAAACTGCTTAAGTTTAGATTCTGGTTGTGAACTGTTTGCTGGCTCCACATTGTCTCTTTCTTTGTTTTCCCTCTTTCAGCCTTCCTTTTCAATAGCCTTATTTTAATGATGACCAGTCTGATTGAATTGCTGTTCTGTCTCTGTGCATTTCTTATTTGGCATATAAGTTGTGATAAAACCGAGGAATCCGATGCTAAGATTGTGAAAATACATTCAAAAAATTTGGCTGAATACGAAGAACTCATTGGATTGGCAAGAAAATTTCAGGTATGTAATATTTCCTTTTATAAACATCGGATAAACAGCAAATCGCTTTTTAAAATTGATATAAATCTATTCAAAGCTTTAATACAGAAATCTGTTTAAACCAAGTGGTTTGAGCACACAAAGGACGTTCATTTGACAGATTGAAAATTGATGATCGTTAACAGTCAAATCACGTTCAAAATTGAAACTTCGTTCACTTTTTTGCAGCTATTGGTGAATGAATCGAAGAAAGTGTCTGATTGTCAGTTTAATGGGTGAATATGAGTTTCAACTCTTCGATAAATTGTATAAGAGGTGTGAATTTGATTGGTATTAACTTTTTGCTACTTTGCTTTTGCTGTTTTGAACCCAAACTCCTTTTACATTCAACTGCTCCAATACATTTTGATTAATTTTACTATTCGATTCAGGTTGATGTTTGGAATCGTCCATCTGATGCTAACTTCACTGTTTGGGCTGCTGTGGATGAAGATGATGAGGATTTTCTTAAAGCTCTTGATAAAATCCCAATCCCATTTGATATACTCTTTGAAAATAAGGCTGCTTATTTAGCATTGGTCAATTACACTCAACCAAAACTTGATTTAGCTTCCGATGCTTCATCAATAAAACCAGTTAGACCTTCACTGTTCAAAAGATATTACCGTTACACTGAATATCTTTCAATTATCAAATCGTGGGCAGATGAATTTCAATCGATGTATTTGATTTCCATCGGTAAAAGTTTCGAGGGTCGAGTCATTCCCGCTGTTGTTATAAACCGTGAATCGCAAATGGATATCGCAAGTGTTGATGGGGACCAAGATGGTGATGGGGACTATGATGATGATGATGTTGACGGGACAGATGATTCCAAGATAAGTCATCAAGATGGTATAACTGGTAGTCATGATCGAAACAGGAATAGAAACAATAGACAACCAAATCGTAGGCCTCCCAATAATGAATGTAAGACAGTAGTTATTGAATGTGGTCTTCATGCAAGAGAATGGGCCTCGCCAGCTTCATGTTTGTATTTGATTCATTTTCTGGCCACTACGAATTCACCAATCTTTAAACGCTATCAATTCCATATCATACCAATAGCGAATCCTGATGGCTATGCATACACATGGTCCAGAGTCAGAGGTGCTCGACTTTGGCGAAAAAATCGCTCAAAGCGAGCAGGTGTATCTTGTATTGGTGTTGATTTGAATCGTAATTTTAATATCGATTGGTGTAAAATCGGGTCATCACGAAATCCGTGTAAAGAAAATTATTGTGGGCCTAAACCTAATTCTGAACCCGAAACCAGAAGTCTTGTAAACTACTACAAAAAACTCGACAGTGAACCAGGAGAATGCACTCTCCTCTACTTTACCATACATTCGTATGGTCAATGGATTCTGTGGCCTTATGGTTTCACCAAAAACCCTCCTAAAAATTTAGAGCTGTTGGAAACAGTTGGCCAAGAAGCGATCAACAGGGTTAATAGAAATATTGGTAGAAGATTGTATCGTGGTGGTCAAACTGCTCAGGCATATAAATGTAAGTCAAATTACAATTCAAATTTCACTTCCTTCGAATCCATGTTAGATTTTAATATGTTTGCTGTTCTTCGAGGTTGTCTGTAGTTAGGTTTGGAGTTTAGTGATTTCAAATTCCATTTTTCCTTTTGGTAATTCCCTTTTTCAGGGTTAAAATTCTGGTTCTAAATTAACAACTTTTAATGGAAGACCTCGATCTATTAATATGATTTAAATATACAGTATCAGTGAATTGAACCTTTTCTAATTACCTAGATGCGTCTAGTGGTGGAAGCGATGATTGGGTTTATTCCAGAGGATTTGCGGATATAGCAATTACTTTTGAGACTCGTGATAATGGTCAATACGGATTCCTACTTCCACCAGAATTAATTGTCCCTGCAGCACAAGACGCAAAAATAGCCATTGAAGCAATATTGGAGAAACGAGAAACTATGTTTGACGGAAAAGGATGAGCTATTATAATATAAAATGAATATCTGGGAAAATTGAATGAATCGATGTGATTGATTCAAAAAGTATCAAAATGAATACGAATAAATTAAGTGATAATAAATTAATTCATATTTCTAATGAAATGAAAACAACGATCACACCAGCTGTTGATTTAGTACAGTCGTTAATCTCAAAATGCCATTTCGTGGGATTAGTCTTATTGTTATTTACGCAGAATTTTACCGAAAAATAGCCTTTCATGATTTTTAATCAAAGTTTTGTAAACAATTAGTTTGGAATGAGTTATTGTATTTATTTGATATTTATAATCAGATTTATCAAATTACTCTTGCTACTTCAATGCTTAATAAAATTAGGTTGGCTATTCTTACAATTGTCTGAATGAAAACTGTAAGATCTTTAGTCATATGCAGACTTCACTGTAATCAACAGTATGTCTAGTTTTGCCATATTAAACGTTAATAAAAAGACAAATTGTTTAACAAACCATAACAACAATTAAGTAAGTTTCTTGGCTCTTTTGGACATTAAAATGAAGAATAAATTCGGAAACAAATAACGAAGTATTATGGCTAATCTATGAGTTACAGATGACAAGAATAACTCTTTCTTCTTTTGATAAATCGCTGCAGCAATTTCATTGGCAACAATCTCAGGATCCATGCCTAAAGCAGTCGTTTCGTCCATCTTATTATAAAGAGATCCGTCAGATGAGAGTGCATTTAAAGATAAGTTTGTTCTGATGTAACCTGGATTCACAGCTAGCACGTCAATACCTGGTTGGATGGAAGATAATTCAGCTCGAAGGCAATCCATAAAAGCTTGAAAGGCATGTTTAGAGGCTGAGTAGGCCGATCTATATGGTATGCTTATTTGTGATTGAACGCTACCAACACCGACGATTGTTCCTTTACCAATTGTAACAAAATGTTCAGTTATTGCTGGAAAATGAAATTGAAATTTAGTAGTCTTTTTAATGAAAACTTAATTCTTTCTAGAAACTTACCTTTAATCACTTCGATTTGTCCAAAATAATTCACTGTCATTAAGTTTTGGTAGACATTAATATCAGTTGAGATTATTGCTCCTCTATAACTGATACCGGCATTGTTAATTATTATATCAATATTACCATGTATATCGATCGCTGATTTGGTAATTTGTCGGATAGTATCGATTTTACTTAAGTCTAATTCCAAAGGAGTTGGGCGATATCCTTCTGGGTAATTCTCAACCAATTCATCTCGCAGCACATTCAGCTTTTCGATGTTCCTGGCAGCAATAATTAATTTAGCTCCGAATTTGTGGAAAACTCTAGTTAAAGCTAAAAAGAAAGATTTGCATTAGAATCTTGAATAGATAAAATTGAGATCAACACCGTAAGAATAATTTACCTTCGCCAAGACCTGAAGAAGCTCCTGTTATGAAAATAACTTTGTCTTTGAAGCTATCTTTATATTTTTGCCTATTACTCCTCTTAAATAAGGCATAAATAAGCCACGAAACTGAAGAAACTGGTAGTAACCAATTTAAATGACATAATAATGACATTATAATTACCTGGAGATAACACAGTTAGTAAAAAAAGTAAAAGATTCATGATAAATAAGAGTGAAGATTATCAAAAACACAAACAAGGAGTACTTTTAGAAGTTAGAAAATTATGAGAAATAACAAAATTTACAAACCTTATGCACTAATTTCTTGGAGTGATTGTTGATTAAAGTTGAAAGAGTAACATTGCAAAATAATTTTGCAGCTTTCAGAAATTTTAAACACCTAAAAAATCCTTCTGAATAGACAATTAAGCAAATGTTATCTATGTTTACATGTTACGATGAAGAAAAGATGAGTCCTGCAGAAGTAAATGTAAAAATCTAGTTGAATCCACAACTTCAGAATCAGAAGTTTAAAATAAATTCTGATCAGCTGAGTATCGATTCTTATCGATTTTGATTATCGTAAAACAGCAGTTTATGACAGAACTCCTGTCACTGGTTCTTTAATACCATATAAAATGTCAACGCCGAAACCAAGTCATGGTAATGACTTGCTCATCACCCTCTAGATACAAAGCTATAAGAGTTTTCTCCGAGGTTGATCCACCAAATTTAGCCCAACTGTCTGAACAAACGTAAGCGTCAATCGGAGTCGTTACATAGCTGAAGAGTTTCTTCATCAACAGTATTTGAGTAGTCGAGTATTTACCTCATGTTAATTAAAAGTGTTCATCCATACATTGCATTAATTTCTAGAATTTTAAATACTCTTTGAGTCATATCTCGTGCTAAATTGGCGCAAAGATAAATGATCGATGAATCGCTCTTCGATTTTTAATCGAATTGTTATCCCATAGCTGATGATCAGTTTGTAACATTATTTACTATATTTTTTTTAGTCAACACGTGTGCAATACTTTTTGTTGATTGTTTCTCCGAGTGAACCAAATATAATCTTCAATTATTTTATGCCTAAATCTGGGTATAATCTGATAAATCAATTGAACAATGATTGAAATTAAATAAAAATAATCATTTGCTAGTGATAGGAAAACCCTTTTGAACATTAGTGTCTTGATGTTGCTCTACTGCTAACTAAACTTCAGAGCCGAACACCGTTGATGGCCTTTTCCTGTTCTTTCATTCATTCTGAAATTTACTCGGTTTGTTTTCAAAAGGATTGATGGTGTGACGTTAGCTCATATCTCTTCCATTGTTAAAGTTACAGTACTTGTTCTCCACCCTGAAATAATAATCACCATTGGATCGTTTTTTCTTCTTTTCTCTCTACTGTTTTGAGCATAACGAATCATGAAAATACCAAAAAAACAAGCAAATTTGAGAAATGGTCTCATTAATGATCTTCTTGAAAAATGTTTATTCTATTCAACTCGCAATGAAACTAATCAAGAAGCTTTGATTGAGGAGTTCATTGATTTGGATTCGATCGCAACCAATATTAGGAAAATTGAAACAGGTTAGATTTAAGTCAAAATTTGATAAATTCTTTGTTTTATCTTTTCTTTCTTATTTTTATTCAAGAAAAAAATCAATTACATTATCTGTTTTACTCCATATTTAGGTCTGTTTGTGCAACACCACAGAGAAGATCATTTGAAGGAATTCATCACTTGGCTGAAGTCCAATGGATGCTTTAATGAGTCACTTGACATCATAAATTTTGACGCATCACTCAGAGAATATGGACTTATAACTAAAAAAGCTACATTAGAAGATGAACTGGTCCTGAAAATCCCAAAAAGATTAATGATGACCACAGAAACAGCCTTAAAAGATACTAGTCTTAAATCTGCAGTATTGGAAGACCCACTGCTTAAATCAATGCCTAATGTTTTGTTAGCTTTTCATTTGATGATTGAATATTGTCAAAAGGATTCATTTTGGAAACCTTATATTTTGTTTCTCCCATCAGTCTACTCAACTCCTCTCTATTACACCAAAGAAGATTTACTTTTGTTGAAAGGTTCTCATGTTTTGCTCGAGTCCGTTAAACTTGTGCGCAATATTTACCGACAATATGCATATTTTTGGAAAAAGATGTCCTCTAAAAGCTCATCTATCAACAAAATCAAAGAGCTCAAAGGCTTATATTCCCTTGATCTTTATCGCTGGGCAATATCTACAGTTATGACTAGACAAAACCAGATTCCAACTTCAGCATCTCATGGACCTGATCAATCTACAACCGGACTAATTCCACTCTGGGACCTTTGTAATCACCAAGATGGGAAATTTTCAACTGATTATGATCCAGTTGAATCAAATTTACTTTGCTATGCAATGAAAGATTTTTCAATCAACGAAGAAATTACCATTTTTTATGGTAAACGAACCAATGCTGAATTTCTTATCAATAATGGTTTCGTCCCTGCTAACAATCAACACGATTTTATGTCCATTCGAATGGGTCTTAGTAAAGTGGATCCATTGTTTGAGTTACGATCTAAATTGTGTCTTATGATGAACTTGCCGACTTCAGGTTATCTCCCTCTTCACCATAAAACATTGGGACTGGATGAGAATCTACTTAATTTTGTTAAAATTTTTCTCATGGATAAGGCTACATTAGAAAAATTATTGAAAAGTGATCAGTTAATAACAAACGCGTCTTTCAACGATCTTCCTGATGATTTGGCTCTAAAAGCTTTCAATTTCATCTCGATTAGATGTCAGATATTACTTAAAAGTTATCCTAATTTGGACAAAGAGCAAAATAACTTAACCCCCTGCGGCCACCACATTATTCAGTTGATTGAATGTGAGAAAAATATATTATCATCTCATGTGATCAACGCAATTCAGAGTACTAATGGAAAATAAAATTATTTATCTGCAAATCTAAGGATACTTCACCGATCAATTTGCAGACTATGTTCAATTGGACCGAAGCAATATTGGATATGAAATATTTAAATTCATATTATTCATTTATCTATTACAGCAAAGGTTACATTTTATCTTTATAATTGATCAGATTAATATACTTATATCAAATTTGTAACTTATGTTTGCCAAGGAAAACTCGAAATTTTTGTAACCGATTTGACTAATTTTAGGAACCATATTGTTTTTTGTTGTATCCAGCTGAATCAGACTAAAATATTGTCCAATTTCGTGTCTCAATTAACAGGAATTTTGTTGATAAAATATTAAATTTACTTATCATCGATTTGCAACATTTCTTGAGTCGTTATGGGCAAAAATAAGTTGAAAATGTACAAATTGTTAGGTTCTCTGTACATTAGAGCAACTTTCGTCAAATCTAGGAACAAAAAAAATTGCGAGATAAATAAACACTATTCTCACTACAAACTGTTTTTTCGAAAATTAATTATTTTATTCGTGATTTTAAAATGTTCAAAATTATTGACAATTCTTTATAATCGACTACAATGTCGATAAATTAAAAAACTAATCATAAACCATTTCTAAACAATAATTGATAAATAACAGTGTAGCTATTTACACTACAAAACAGTCTCTTGAAGGCTGGACTTCACATGAGCCGATTCTTTTCCTCTGATGAATAAATGTAAACACTGGACTTCAATTAATTCTTGTAGAATACGCAATTTAATTTCAAATTAATTGTATACTTTGTAATTATTTGTAATGTGAATATTCCAAGGCGGGTATCAAACTATAACCAAGGCCCATTTATTAATGGGATTCCCTTGGAGGCAAACTATATTTTTCTTGGTCATTGTAATAGCTATATTACAGGTAAGGTTCAACCTTTATCTTTTTGCAAATTTTTGTGCAATATTGTAGTTCCTTTAGCTCTTAATTTTCAATTTTTAATTAACGTATTTATTGTTGGTTTGTCTCAGCACATGTGACAATCTAATTGTTTCATCCATATTCAAGAAAGTAAACAACAGACATAATCAAGTTACCAATGGAAGATCAGAAACATGATTGAATATCACACATTTCTATATAGTTTAGGTTCATAAAAATAAGACTCTTCATGTTTCATTACAATCTTGGTTTTGCATATTTTAGCACTTTTCTAGTTAAAACAGCGTATCATTGATTCTAATTCGGGATTTTAATTCTTTATTTCTCATAAAATTTTGAAACTAACTTGATAGCACAATATATGTACTAAAAGTCCACTGTAGTTCGATTCATTAATAATTAATCATGTATTAATATTTTCATAATTCCATTTGCTATACAAAGAATTACTAACGTAAAAGTCTAAAGTAATAATAATCAAAAGTAAGCAATTATCTTTTCGATAATCACTGTCTAAGCGATGAGTTGTTCAATTCCCGCACGTTTATTTGATATCATAGAACGATATTTTGACCTTTTTTTCATTTTCATTGACCATATCTTTTCATTTTCAGGTTATTCACATATCACTGTTGAGCCGACTTGAAGCATTGAAAAATGAGCGACGAAAACGCAATGCAGCTTTCAAATTTGATAAAATTGGTCATGACAATCCACTCGTTTATTCAATTAAAGAGATCGAAAAGGATCGTAAACTGCTTTTGGATGCCGTAAAGGAAAGTTCCGTTCTTGATGCTTTCGGTGAAATGCATATCATTAATAACTGGATCAAAGCTGAATCTCTGGGAAATCGCAATCATATTCGCAAGGATATTACTTTGGTCACACAGTCTTCTTTATCAGAGCTTTACAATTTGCTGACCATTATTCATCGATGGAAAGGCTTAATTTCAGTGGGCTTGTTCACATTGACCAGAGAGCTATCCATTGCAATCGAAATCATTTTGTCACTACGAAAATGTTATCCTATGATAAGATACAACACTAGTTTCCATTTAGTCTATCCTCTTCTTGTGCCTCTGCCAGATCTAAATACACACTATGATCTGATTCGTCTTCTGCCATCAGAACCTTCAGCGCCGTCACTTTCATCATCTTCACGAGCCGAGTCTATCGAAGAAAATATTTGTGCTCAACTGCCAAAAATCATGACCGCTTTGAACCCTGGTACTCTTAACTATGAAAATGAAGGAATTCCATTTCCAAATAATTTACTTCGAAATGTTGCCAGGAGAAATAGTTTAACTCAATTTGTTTTCGTTATCGATATTGATCTGGTCCCCAATAATAATCTCAATTATGATTTTATTGAATTTGCGAAGGAAAATCGTTTATTTGAAGAAGAAACCAAGGATGAGAAAACCATATTTGTTGTGCCATCATACGAAATCGATTCTAGTCTTGTTCCTGATCATATACCTAAAGATAAAACTGAACTAATGTTAGCAGTCAACTCAGGTTATGTTCGGCCATTTTATTACGAGCTATGCTGGAAGTGTCAAAAATACACAGATTATGAAGCTTGGCAAAAGGAGCCATTATCACCAAAATTAGACATATTATTTGAGGTTTTCTGGCATGATCCCTGGGAACCGTTTTATATCTCTCGCAATACTGTGCCAATGTATGATGAAAGATTTCGACAATATGGTTTCAATAGAATCAGTCAGGTATTTCTTAATTACCATAACCGAATGTTACCCAATTTATTAATTTTAATTATTCACTTAGGTTTGTGAACTTCATATGGCTGGATATCGATTTTCAGTTTTGAATAATCCTTTTGTAATTCATAAAGGAATGAAAAGGCCAGATTCATTTCACAAAGACAAAGATTTGGAGCTGGAAAAAAATCGTATACTTTTTAGGCATTTCAAAAATGAACTCAAGGATCGCTATCGAACCTCGTCAAGGCGCTGTTATTAAATCAGTAAAAAAGCTTATTTCATCATTCCCACTTTTTCCTGTGCCATGTAAATTGGATTCACCAAATGTTCAAACTTTCTTTTATGGGCCATATCAATATTTCATTTTGAGCAATTTCAAATTCCATGAACATAATAAATACCTGATATCATGACTGCCTGCATATCAATTTACTGATTAAATCACTAACTTTTTGCTTAATATCTTCAAGAAATACGAAATATCATTTAGATTCACTTTTATTGTTCGCATTGTTGCAACATGCCCTTCAACATTCATCTGTCAAAATGTAATTTAACTAACGAAATACTCATCGAGTGTCTAATTAATGTTTTTCCCCTTTACCGATTGTTTTCGTCTTTTATACTCCTATTGTAACGAATATTTATTTTTACCAAATACATTTCTAGAGTGTGCTAATGATCGCCCCAATTTGCCAATGATTTGACTCCGATTGATTTTTACATAAGTATCATCTAATTCCAATACAATCAATTCAAGATTTATCAAGATCGATAAGTTTCTATAGATATTTTGTATTTCCATTTTATTCAGTATTTTGAGGCCACATGATTCTTGAGCGTCTCTCAAGGTTAATGTCCTGATCAACTCAAGCTTAAAACCAGTTTGTTTATTTTGGTCTTAACAGTTCGGTAATGAAGATTCACGTCAGGTGACCTTATTTTCATTTCAGTTCATATTTGTGTATGACTGGAATATGATTTTATGTCAACTATGACAAACGCCAAAGGTAAATCTTCACAGATTAGCAATTATGGTAAAAAGATACATCCTGAGCGTGAGGTTAAAACAGTGTTACAACAACCCAAACGAGTCTTCATCTCATCATTAATAATAATCTTTATTGCCATTGTTTTAAACACAATTGGGGCTCATTTTAATGCCCAAAATCATTTTCTAAAAAATGTGATCAACAATCAAACAAGTGAATTACCAATCACTCTAGATGAAGTTGACAGCTCAAGTAAAAATGGTTACTCATTTTTGGTTAACAATGGAGATAACAACACAGATTCATTACCATTACAAGAAGAAGGAAACAGTCATCAAGTGAACTTTGAATCACAAAAGGATAAAAGTGATGTCAATGCCGCCGAAGAAAAAGTGATCTACAGTTTTCTTGCTACAACGGAGCAAGACATTGATCAACTAAGGTAATAACTAATTTCATTGATACTCTTTTCTACTTTAATTGCATGAATCATGTTACTAATTTAAATCTTTGTTACTAGCATTTATGAGCAACCATGTTCCCCTACTGGTTATCGCTACGAGTCTTCAATCGGTTCAGCACCAGAAACATGTGGAATCACTTTTACCGATCACCTTCTAGATCAGGACCAAGTCAATAAACTCAGAACAATGGCTGCTAAGTACATTGAACTATTCGGTGAAACAACAACGACCAATCGTGAATCATTGAATCTCCAATGGATTAATTTACATACTTTGTTTCGTAAGGCTCCTAAAAAAAGCTTGTTATCTGATGATGAATACGAGCTATTGATAAATGCATCAGTTGCAGCAAAAGTAAGAGTTAAAATAATTGCTACGAATATAAATTTTATTTTCATTGACAATCAACTTGTTTCTTGTTTTTATTATTAGAGTGTGACTTCAATGGCTTTTGGAATTCCCGAGGATCGTTTATTTTTCACGACAGTCTGCCAGTTTACAAGATATGAACCTGTAGCAGCATTTTCAGAGTTCCGTCATATTGATAAAGTACGATCTCCTGAGTTGATTGTCACCTCAATTTTATGGCTATCAACAGTTGATGTTGACTTTGAAGGTGGACGATTAGAGTTTCTCAATGGACCTGGAGATGAGAAATTCAATCCATATCTGATTGAACCCAAAAAGGGAAGATATGCGGCCTGGACCTCGTCTCATGAAAATCCTCATGGTGTACACGAACTGTATAACGGAGAGAGATTAGCACTTATCTTTGCCTTTACTGCCAATCCTAAATTTGGCCATTCAACTATAGAGAGCTTAAGGACCTGGGCAACACTCAAAAAGCCATCCTTTTATTACTAACTGGTTAACCAGTTGGCAATAATGAACTCAAATCTGGTTAACAATAAACAATTGATTCAATAATGTATATTTGTTACTAGAAAGAAACGCGAATGATTCCCTTTTGACTTCCTTTTATATGTGAAAAATTGACAGTTGTCAAGCATAAGGCAAAATTGTTGATCAATTAACGCAAGGTGCAATTAACCGATTGTTTTTCATCTTGTAAGACAAATCTAATTGTTCATTCACTAATTTTGACATTCCATTTGTCAATTGAGTGATCAATTAACAAACAAAAGGTAGTCAGACATACAAGTTTACCACTGATCTAAATAATGATCCAAATGATAATCTTGATTAGGATTCATTTTCATTCTCGACAATACTTTACACTCTCTTTTCATTTAGTAACTAAATTAATTGTCTTTTATATCTTCTTAAAAATGGATGTTATCAAATTTGGAGACCATCAACAGCAACAGCAACAGCAACTGCAACTGCAACTACAACCTGGCGATAATGTTAAAACAGCCAATCATTGGGAACCAGGCGAATCAAATCAATTGCAACAACACCAACAGGTTGAACATGCGACATTAAAACACCAGGAATCGACAAGCTGTTTAAACACACCATCAGCTATTCAGCCAGTTCCACCAGCATCACCATTTATTGGTTTATCAAAGTTTGGAGTAATTACAAGTGATAAAACTCATCATCGGTTGGTTAATGATAATTCTTACAGTTTGTCTCAAAGCTATGAAGCTATTATTCTTGAAAATCAAATCAATTTTAACCATCGTCGACAAAATGCTTTATTTACTTCGCCACCAGATACTTTCACCAAGGATTGCAATAGACATTTACCAAGTGTTTTAAATTCAAACTCTCTTGATAGTGCCAATTTCATTAGACGTCGCAATGAACGGGAACGAGCTCGAGTTAAAAATGTAAATGAAGGCTTTGATCGACTTCGGAAACATTTACCATTATCACCAAGTCAACGAGAGAAACGATTGTCTAAAGTTGAAACATTAAAAATGGCAATTAGTTACATTAGACATCTTGAAACTGTCCTCAAATCAAATGATCCAAAAGAAGAGCGATCAATTTAGCTTAAATCACACCATTCAATCCAATTTCAATATCTATAATTAGCATTGAAAGCTATCATTAATGATAGCTTACAATATCATCAAATTAAAATCACAACCATTAAGTTTATATTGTTAGCTAATATAATCTTTAAACTCAAGAATAGCCATCAGTTTCACATTGTCTTACGTTATGAGACTTGATTTGAATTTGTATCTTTGATTGTAAATAAATATAATAATAATTGTTATAATTGGTGAATGTTTATTGTTTTATTTTGCTAAAATCTCAATAATTGAACAAATTTGAAACATTAAGGAAATAATTTTACTTTCTGTTTGTACAAAAAAGGTTTGTATAAAACCTAAACATTTAGGTTTACAAGATATTGTTGACTGTAATCAATCATTATTTCATCATTATACATGTATTAATCTCAATCATATCGTTCCTCATATCATCTTGTGGTTAATTGTGTGACGCAGAAATGGTTGAACATAAAAAACAATTTATATTAGCTTGAAATCAGTCAAATCCCGTTTGCTTTTGTTAGATTTGATTAACAGATAGAAACAAAGATTGAAATTTGAGTGTATTATAATCATTGATGTTTCTTAGTTGAGCAAAAAGGACTAAAAATTTAAAGATGAACCAAAGGTATGAAAGTTGATGGTGTTGGTGCCGGTATTGGTGTTGATTAATGAAGGTGGTGGAAAAAAATAAAGAATGAAAAGAGACAAATCACAGTCTTAATAAGATGAGAAACCAAATGGTTGAGAAAAAGGCAACAATTGTTTAAGCACAATCAATATCTTAAAAATACACTATGTAATTTTGGACAATTGTGTTGTTGTTTTGTTTATATAATTATATATATAGCTGATTTGATTGCTAAGATTGAAGAATTGATTGTATCTTCTTTATATTCAATTTTTGTGATTATTTTACACATTCCATCTTGTTTATCTTTTACTAGCATTACTCAATAGACAGAAAAATATCGTCTTAATCATGTTACATGTTATTTATAATAGACTTGATTTGGTTGACACTGTGTGCAAGCAAATAACATTGAGCTGCTCAGAATACCTTTATCATTATATTTTCCATTAGCATTAAATTCATTATTTATCAACATCATCATTTTAATCGCTAAACGGTATTTCATTAGTCAACACCACCGTAAGAACCCGATCCTTCAATGGCTTTTATCAGTCTATCTTTTAGTTCTTGGTAACTTTCATATGGAGGCAAATCAAGTCGATTGAAGCTAAAGTAAAGAAGAAAAAATGTCAATTAATTATCTCTAATTACAATTATTTAGAGAGAAATAGTTTATAAACTATTTATCTAATTAACTAGTTCATTACCATGTGTGAGAACGAGGTAAATTAGCTGGAGTACCCCATTTTTCAATTGTAAAAGGCTGAGGTCCGTTGCTTCCATAAAGCTCTTTAAAGCCATTCATTGGTACTCGAGAAGTACCAGTAACAAATTGAAGTAATCGAGAACGCATCTCACTTGAGAAAGATAATACAACCTTGTTGGAAGATAAAAAGATGATAAAAGAAGATATTATAAATAAAATTTAATGAATTATTAAACATAGGAAAAAACGAGATGGTAATTCAAACAGTCATGTGAAAAGCGTATAATTTGCTTTTGCTATTTGCTCGAGATGGTGAAATGACTTTGTTCCAGGATAAACGCCTGGTAAAAATTAATTAATGATATAATTACCCTCCAGAAATATTGAATAACAATATGTGTTGCATGAAATCCTCCTTTATATACAGTATGTTTCCTCCAGTCATTAACATCTATTTCTCCAATTCCACATAATAGAAGTTCTAATTCATTTTCATCGAAAATCCTTATTGAGTTTAGGCTAACAATTTCATCAAATCCCTTCAGAAATGAGTTCATTTGAGGGGCAACTCTAGATACGAATCTCCATTGAATTACAAGGCTAAAATTGGATGAGAACGAAAAGATTAGTTGTAATAAATAAAACATGAAAAAATGATACCAAAAGGTCACTTACTTTACATATTCATCTCTATTTTCAACGGTAACTGAAACATTTGTTCCATCAGGCTTAAGCTCGTGAACTTGCATTTGACCAAACATATCTTCATCTACAACAAATCTGAGATCAAGTTCGGCAGGATCATTTTCCATAATCCATTTAAGTGAATTATAATACTCTAAATCTACACTTTCCATGTCCTTCAAATCAATTGGTTTATCTAACATCATTTTGTAGAATGGTCTTATAAAGAATGCATCTAATAGTTTACCATGATATACAGCCATTCCTGCTATTCTACCGATAAATTTAAAATAAGATAAATGATCTTCTGAGCACATTCCGGAATTCGGATTGATTTGAAGAGTATAATTATCAGCGGCTGAATATTCAAAGAGACCATAATAAGGGTTGAACATTTCTTTCGATAAAAGATAAAACCATTCACGAGATGCACCACCATAATCAAGAACTTGTTCATTATCAAATTCGATCCATAATTTGGTTCTTAATAAATCAGGGTTGGAGATATTGGAGATGAAATTATATGAGCATTCAAATATATTGGCTCGGCTGACTTTAATTTCCAACTTGTTTGGCACATTTGATGGTCGAGGTAACTTTGATTGAAAATATTCATACTTTCGTTTATATTCACGTGAATACCTGACCGCTGGACCAGCAATTGCTGGATTATTAAGCCTAGGATCTTCCCATTGGGTTGTCTTGGTGTTATGATCAATAAAAAATATACGCCCATCGGAATGAACTCGTTCTTCCCAACCATCAGGTAATGAGCCTAAATCATCTATTGTAGCACCAACTGAAGGATTATTGGACACTTGGGGACGAGGTTGAGGACTTGGTTTGCCAGTTCTTGGATCAATCCAAGTAGTTGTTTTGGTATTGTGATCAATGTAAAATATGCGTCCATTTGGAGCAACTTGCATAGACCAACCGACAGGCAATTGTTCGGCTGAAGTTGAGGCAGTAGAATCATCATTATTATTATTACTATCATCGTTATTCAATGCAGAACTTGAAGGTTCTTCATTTAAAGTTGAGCTTGAGGTTGCTGATGTGACCGGTAAAGTAGCTATTGGTGCGATTGTCGTAACTCCAGTTGAAGGTGGTGTTGCTATTGTTGAAGACGGAAACACAATACTGTCCAATGGTGGTGTAGACGAACGGGCGGATTCATAACTATCACGACTAGTACTCTCCCTAGAATGAGCATCATTAGATACAGGCTGTAGATGGATCAATATGAGTGAAAGAAAACAAAGAAAAGAATATAATTTAGTAATGACACAGGAAAATAGCTTGAACAAATACAGATGAATAAAATAAATTAGAAAGTGTGACAAAAGCAAAAATGGGCTGACAAAAAAGGAGGGAAATGACAGAACATTTATGAGAAAAAGTTAATTTTGAGACCTCAGAAAGTCGACGGCGGTTTTGCTCGATCTTGAATCTTTCAAGTCTTGTATTAAAATCCAAGATCTAATAGACATGCATGGGTAGCGTGTCCAAGTACACAAAATGAAGCATATTGTCAGGATCGACAAACCACCAGCGAGCAAAATCATTCATTAAAGTTTCAGGACAAGGAAAAATAAGAAATTTATACAATTGCACATCCAAACAAGTTGACCGTAAATATATAAAACGAAAGGAGAAAAAATAGATAAAGTTGTTGAGAGCAATGACAGAGAAAAATTAAACAGTTACAAATAAAAGATAGAATAAATCAATTCATGGTTAGTTTAGCACTAAATGTATTATTAAAGAGTAAGTAATAATGTACCTGAGGAGGACTCTCTTCTTCTTGATTATTCTGATTATCTCCTTGATCACTGCTAATGTGAACTCTCCGGCGAAACCAATGAGCTAAATCAATGCTCCGCTGATGTGCTACTACAGTCTGGCCCGTTTGTCTAAAAGTAATTATAAACACGATTTATATAATTAAAAATGATAAAAATAGTAGGCAATCAAGGAAGAGCATAAAAATAGATGATTATCATTTGAAGTTAGGAAGAGAAAATTTATTCTCATAGTGGTTTTGTAATGTTGAAAGTGTAATAAAATAAATTGAACAAGATAAATTTCTAAACCTAGATAAACGATCAAAATTGACCAAAGAGTAGGCTGAAATTCATCCAGATAAATCGTGCGCTTATGAATCAAAAAGATTTTAAGCGGTGAAATATAAGATTTAAAAATAACCACTATAAGATTAAGGTTAGTTTGAAAGGTTAAAATCATTAAGCCTATTCTTACTCAGTTGGTCTTTGCCATTGAGTGATTCTGTTGATATGATCAACATAATAAGTGCGTCCATTAGCATCTTGCCTCTCTTCCCATCCATGAGGTAAAGGTGAAAGACGATTATCGATAGATGAAGATGGAATGCGAACTGGTTGAGCTGGTTGCTCTTCGTGGCCATTTGCTTCTACTTCGACTAATTCCCAACCTTGCTGTAAGGATAAAAAAGAGGAAATATTAGAAGAATGCTTCTGGTGGTAATTTCATGATAGCACATGATTTCAAATATGCGTTTAGAAACGCTAAAGCTTACATCTCGAATTTCCTTAAACAAGCTCACCTCATTTTCTGAAGATGCGCCATTTTCACCTTCATCCGGAAGGAATGCAACGTATAACTTTAATTGCCCTCTGACCTTAACTTTAGGACTACTTAATAGGAAAAGACAACGGGAAAAAATTACTATGTTGATCATCCATTATTAAGAACAATTATTAATTATTGACTGGATTTAATTCAAACCTCTTTGGACGAAGAATGTATAGCTTAGAAGAAATGGTTCGTTCAGGGTGTTCAGTAGGAATGTTATTCAAGGGAAGTTCCACCATACCAAGGAAATCATCTCTCGTTAATCGGTTCTCATCAAATACTTCGATGATTAGCTTATGTTGATCAGGAATAGCACGAAGTTGGAATTCTTCATCCCACTGAGGATTAAGTGTCTGTTACAAGAGAAGATAAAAAATGAAATGAAATGATTGAGAAAAGCAAAATGATAGGTTAAAATAGAAAAAAATCAATGAAAATGAGCAACATTAAGCTGATTAGGGCAACCAATAAAATCATGGTGACGTGAGATGAAAAGAAGACAGAAAGAGAGATGAAGATACTAGAAAAATATAAAATTGAAAAATTACAGGAGAGACAATCAATAGAAATGATTACTGTTACCCTCTTTTTGGTTTTGGTACACGCTGTGTATACGATTTCATTTTCTAAAGTAACTAGACCAATTTTAGCATAAGGATCACTTGCACCAAACAGGTCCTTCTTGGCCAGGCTTTTTCCTTCGATTATCTTCAGTCTTAGAGTCCGTGATCGTGCTGGATAGCCCTAAAAAACATGAAAAGAAATTAATCATAATGTTCAATTTTCATAAATAAATTAAACAGTTTTTGTTTCATCTCGTTTTTTATTCCATTTGGATGATGCAAAGAGCATATCATCGACTAACCATCAAAACATTTCAAATGAAACGTCAATATATTTTTTTTGTTGCATTCGTATCGACACATCAACAAAACATGAAAGTACCGATATGTTATGTATCGATTGATTAAAAGCATGGATGTCGATAATGAGATATATTTAACATTCTAAGATTATAAAGAGGAAGAATAAATAAAAAAAGCTCAAGAAAGGATGGATAAATTGAAAGAATCAAATGATTATTGAAAATAGTGTTTATAATCAGGTTGAGTGCTTGCTTGATGGCAATGATATTGAACATGATAATATCGAGCTGTGTATATCAAACATACTGATAAACCAAATTCGTTGTCCATGATTAAAGACTTGGTTATTTTAAATTTACTGTTATTTGACCTGACATACATTTGATTAAAGAGAAAGAGAAAAAGAGAGAAAGGTATAAAGGACATGATTTGAAAAAAATTGAAATGAAATGAAAAATAAGGAAATAAACTCAAATCCTTAGAATACAATATCCTGAATTGTAGGTTGACAATACCCGAAAGTTTACAATGTCTTTAATTGACCAATATTTGGTGAAATATTGATCAGCTAAAATAACAAGTTCAAGCTGTCAAGTTGAATACATTGCAAATCTAGCAAACAAGACAATGTATACAAAAAGAAACACAATAACAGAGTACAGTCAATCTTGAATAATTAATTGCTTCGTCATGATTTGGTCTGTGCACCTAGAAGCCCTAAGAGTTTCTGCAATCTTGGAAAACAACATCATCACCACCATAATCAAAAGAAATCCTTTTGTTCTTCACATTTTATAGCACTAAAGTCAATCCTAATATACGCATACATCTCAAAAAATAGGGAATGATGAGTCCAGTAAGAATTGGATAGTGATCTTATACTCTATCGAAAGATTGAACGTTTTTTTCTCAACCAAGAATGCATTATAATAGTGCACACAGACTCGATAAAATCAATTAATAGTTACACATAAAATCATCACCCAAAGATACAAGATAAAAGAGTGACTGAAAAAGAGATAAAAAAGAGTAGATTGTAAGTTAAAAGGCAAGGTTTTTGTTACCTACCTGTTGCTGTTGAATTGACTCAGATCCTGTACCAGACATCCTTTAGAGTAACCAAATCGATTATTCCAGACACTGATTTATAAAACATAAGATAGAAAATGGTCAAAATATTTATAAATCTCCAATGAAAACATGGAACGACAAAAGATAGACAAGATCATCAACGATAAATAAGAGAAACAAGAAGGGTTACCAATAGTAATATTACAGGATGAGATCAGTTCAACTTGAAGTGTAAATGTAAACACTAATGTTTGGACCTTCCGGATTGAACATTAAACGGCATTAGATGTAAACAGTTATTTAAAAATAGTAGAGGAAAGTTGGAATCTCAATCAAATAATATACATTATTATTATAGTAGTAAAATTGATTAAAAAAGGTTGCTCTTTAGCTCCAAATAATATTTTTCATGATTTTGAACAGCAGTTTAGATTTACTCTAAAGTACCTCAAGCCTCCACTGGTGGCGTTAATACATGATAATAAAAGAAGGAGTTTCATGTTTTTCCGCGTGTCTACGCATTTGATTGTATTTCTCGGTTTGTGTTCAAGTTTAAAAATCAGATGTTTTTTAGTTGTGTTTTTAAATTTATTTTAATGATAGTAATTTGCTTGTGATTTTATTTTTTCTCAACTTTTAAGTTCATTAATTGAGTCGCTCATGGTGATAAATCAGGTGAAAAATCTGTTTTGAAATCATATTTCATCATCTTTTTAGACCCTTGTTTTCCCACAAGATGCCAAAACATTAAACATACAATGTGATGTTTCTTCTCAAGTTTATTACATGTTTCCAAGATTTACTTGTTTAACTACATTGGTCCAACATATTCACCTTAATCATCTCTTTGGACAGTTTCATATTATGAACATCTAAATCCAATATTTAGCTTGTTTTTGGTATCCGGATATTTCTCTCTTTTGCTGCCTTAACATTTTATTATTCTCAACCCATTGCTCTGAGATCTTATCGTATCTCTCATCGTTAATTAGAGAAACCGACGATTGAAATAACCATTTCAAGAATGTCGGAAATCAAGGTAACCCCTCTACTAGGTCTTCAAGAAAATGGAAAAAGCTCAACTTTGGTTAAAATTGGAGGTAAAAATGTGATCCTTGATTGCGGCTTGACTCTAGAGGCTTTAAATGATGACAATTACGACCAACTGTTGCCTGATTTTACATTTCTCTTTGGGAACAATGCTGTGAATACACCAATTGACTGTGTTATCATCAGTCACTACCATCTTGACCATTCAGGAGCTCTTCCATACCTGACTGAAAAAATTGGTTACAAAGGGCCTATTTACATGACACAGCCTACCAAGACTATTGCTCCTTTTGTTTGGAAAGATTGTCATACAACTTTAACAGATGCAAACTTTTTCCCGGATTTCCTTAGCCCATCACAAATTGCTGATTGCATGAGTAAAGTAACAACTGTGGCTTACAATGAGGTCATTTCAATTAATGATGAAATAACTGTTACAGTTTACCCATCTAATCTGCCTCTTGGTCCAGATATATTTCATTTGGAAGTTGGCCAACAGTCAATATTTTATCATGGAGGATGTAATTTGAAGCCTTATAGCAAACCTCCGATTTCATCGCCTTCACCATATCCAAGAGTAAATGGGAATATCTCTGATGGTATCTCATCGGCTGCATCTTCTTCCAATTTACCCAGTCAGCAAAGTGATTTAACTATAAAGCAGAATGGCTGTATGTTATCTTTCAAAATTGGTCAATCAGTTGTTCACCGACAAATGAGTCCACAAGAAATGCAATTGATCACTGCTGTTTTTAAGAATTTGCAATTTATGGTCGAGGACAATGAAGATGAATTTTGGCAGCGCATTGCTTATGAGATGACTTTATTTTCTTCGCCTCTTAACGATGATTCCAAATTGAGATGGAAGACACTCTTTTATGATTCCCTACGTTCTTGTAGACAAAAAGCTCCTGAAAATTCTGAAAACGAGGAAACAAATCAAAATGGATTAGACGAAGAGAATCGTCCAGAATCAACCAATGAGGTAGCTACTAAAAGCTCTGGCAAGAAAAATCGTAAAAAAAAGAAAGCCAAAAAATCACGTAACACTCAACCGTCTGATGATCTCATCCAATTTGACTCACCTGAAGTTGAAGTTCCAAGCACTCCCAATAAGCCTAAAATTTCTAGCAACCGAAATTTTCAGCCTAATCCTGGTATTCTTGATGACCAACAGCTAATGATTTGCGCGTTTTCTGAACGTCTCAAGTCTGCAAAAATTTCTCCAGAATTTTGGATTTCTCTCAACCAGGATCTTAAAAAGAAAGGCAAAAGTATCAAACCATCAGATCTTGAAGAATATTTCAAGAGATTATCGGGTATTCAAATGGAGATCATGATGACCTCTAATAGTTTTATAGAGGCTGCAGGAAAATGGCAACATTTCATTCCTTTAAATGATCTTGATCTTAGCTACTTTTTTGAAGATAAATGGGCTTATAGACGCTCAAAGGCTCGTTTTCTTGATACTGATGAAACTCCAAAACCAAGAGCAAAGAAAACAAAGAATAAAGTTAAATGCTTAAACAGTCCACCCGAAAGTCCAGTCTACTTAGCTCCCATCAATCATTCCCATTGTGATATCGTCCAACAACCGGAATCGCCAAAAGATATTCCTTACATTTCCGATCCTGAAGATTTAACGGACCATTTGACCCTTATCAATCTCTTTGCTAATCGACTCAGGAAATCAGAAATTTGTCCAGAATTTTGGACTCTTTTGCATAAAGATCTTGAAAATATTGGCAAACCTCTAAAGGACGAAGCCGATTTACGCTGCCATCTCAAATCATTGGCTGATATTCAACTCGATGTTATGAAAACATCTCCCGATATTATAACTGCCATACAGAAATGGCCATTTTTCATGATGCTTCATGATTTGCCTTTAGATTTTCTCTTAGATGACAAATGGGCTTATCGTCGACTCAAGCCTAATTTTAGTTAATTTTAATCCTGCAAAACTTTTATCAAACTTTTAAACAAGCACTTGTTTTAATTTATTAAAATTTGATGTTCTCATTTATTTACAAAAAATTGTAATTTATTTGTATTGATATATTTTTGCTATGTTGTTGGTTGATTGCAAGCAAATCTTGTTTGATCGGGATTTTAGATAATTTATTTAAAACCAACAAAAACAATAAATATTACAATTAATATGTACTTAAACCTAGAGAGCTTAAACCTATTATTTATGCGTCGATAAAAATTGTTGATACAAATCATGGATTAAATACTTTTTTTCAATATAGCAATAGTTCTCTTGATTTTGGCCATCGGCCTTAAAACTTTGAGACTCGATATTTCGAGTATACTGGCAACTACAGTCATTATTTTTGACCAAACATTTGATTGCACTATGGACTATAATGTATTGAAGTATCAAATCATTCACGAGACTATGAAAAAATTTATAGCATTGTATGACTTATGTTATCAGATTTGAGACTATATTTGTAAAGTTTAATGTTTACCAAACACAAATCTTAAGCGTCAGAAGGATCTTCATTGTTAAATAAATTAGTTCGAATTATATTCGGTATTTAGTCATAAACTTTTATACCCCATAATGAGATCTAATGTTTAGGGAAAGAATGATGATTGTAGGTACCATCATATTCAAAATATCGAGTCTCAAAGTTTTTAGTTCAATGGCCAAAATCAAGAGAATTATTACTAAATTGAAAAAAGTATTTGATCCATGATGTGAAGCAACAATTTTTATAGACAAATAATAAGTTTCAGCTCTTAAATCTTTTGGGTACTGAAAACGATCGGTTTAACTCAAAATCAAACTCAATGTCCTCATAGTCTAAATTTGAAAGAAATTTACCCGTTTTGTCCACTTTAGTCAATTTATTCTTAAATGTGCTAATTGTCCCTTTTTAGTAACAACTGTTTAGATAGATATATTATTTTACAAATGTAAAATGGTTGTAGAGTTCACTAAACAATTTAACTGAATAGTAACTAAAGATCCATAGTTTAGTCAAATTATTGTCAAAAAATTAACCTAACATATCGCTTATTTTTCTGATCGTTTTTGTTGTTTTTATAATTACAAAGGTTAAAATCAAAGTAGGATTTGAATATTGCGACAAATTCCGTCTCAAATACAGAATTATTTCACCGAGTTGTTTAAAACAGTTAATTAGTATCAATTTTTAGGTTTAAGGTTTCGTATTTACTTTTTGTTTAATTTGTAAATCAACTTTAGACTCTTTTATTACATTTTAAATTAACAAGCAACAGTTTAAATTATTATATTTAATTTATATTCTTTTCGAGCAATTCTTTCCGCTTTGTTAATGACTGGCCCGATTTAATAGATAGAAATATTTAAATGTTAAAAAAATCTTGACTCCATTCTTGATTCCAAATTTCGTTGCTCAACCCAACAAAATTTAATGCACAACTTTTCGACTAGAATGGCCAAATCATGGGTGCAATTTTCATAGAGTAGCTCTTTAGAGGAATAGGATCAAACTGCAAGAGAGGGTTCAGTTACTCTGAAGATTCAAAATTTCCAGGGTGGCTCTGAAAGAGAATAAGAATGCAATGAATTAGATAGAGAATGGAAGGAAAGTGTTCAACAAATTGCTAAGGTCCAAGAAAAGCAAAACTTACTTGAACAAATACTTCGATGATCAGAGAAATGTATATTTTTACATTTAATACCACAATAAAAGACATTGTTACACTTTCCACATCCCATTATTGCTGGCTTGTTACATGTTGGTCGAGCACATCTTTTACGAGGATCACCTGAAATTGAAAGATTTACATCAAATAAGACAATTTGTAAGTACATTGAACATACAATTGAACTATTAATAATATTTTTTACTGTTCTATCGCTAGTCTTGGTTCAATTGATTCAATCAATTGTAACAATTGTATCAATTGATTTTAACAATCAATGAATTTGCACAAAATAATTGTTGTCTACGCATTTTCTCTATGTTTTGTAAAATCTTGATTCCAGAATTTCTTGGATTCTTGAGATGAAGTTCAAAATTTAAGAAACTTTGAATAAAAATATTTACTTGTTGAAACTGGCTCTGAGTTGTTTTCATCCTGGTAAAGATGAATGGGTTGTTCCCGTTTGGCTTGTTGATTGAAAGTGATCCTTTTTTGTTTAAAGTTTTCTTGATCTGAAAGATTGAAATATTGAAACATGAGATTATAATAAAATCAGGAACAATGTATTTGAGTTCACTCTTAATTGTCTTACTTTTAACAGCAGTTTTTTCAGGGTTTGTGTCGGAAATATTAATGAAAGTAGCAAACTTTGCATCATCTCGATATGTTCGCCTTCTGTTTCCAGTACCGGTGACTTTAGTTGTATGATTAGTATCTGATCGATCAGTAGTAGGCATGATTGAATAGTCGGGTGCACTTAGTTTAATAAAAATACCTTGAGTTGGATAGACTTGATCAATCGGAGCAATAGCTTCATTTTGAGCAACAAACCTATAGGTTTCGGTCAAAAATCGAAAAGACCTGTTCTTTTTTAAAACATCTTTCAATGAAGAGTCTTCTGCTTTCATGAGGATATCACGAAGTTGAGATAATGTTAAAGCTGATCTAGCAGGAAGAGATATTTTTCCAATACAATTTTTCCGAAAATATGGGGATGCATCAGTTACAAGGTAAATAAAATATTTTCTTTCTGCTCGAGAGTCATGATTAGGTGAAAAAGGTTCTGAGTAAACTGGATGAGGTTCCCATGCTATTGTTGGATCGCTCTTGAGATCAACAGTTCCAAACCAGATTGTTGGTGATGTTTGGATTGAAACTGAAGTTTTTCTGTCATTCCTTAATTTGGCCACTACTCGAGAACCAATATTTTGTAAGTCTCGACCAACAGCAAGAGCTTTCTTGTTTTTATGCTTCATGGGATGCTGGTGATTTGCAGGATCAGATAATCCATTCTCATTTTTATCACAATCACTATTAGCTGGTTTCTCATAATTAAGAACTCTGTCAACTATCAGATCTTTGGACTCAATTACGGTTTCTTTTTTGGTTTCACCAGTAATTTGTGAAATTGTTGTAGATGATGTAGACGAAAGTGATAACGATGATGGTGGCAGAGGAGATGAATTATATTGATTAATTGGTATAGTATCTTGTTTATTATGATTGTTTGTTGCCACTGATGATGATTGATCTTTCTTCATCTCAAAATCACTCTTAACTTGATTATCGGCAGCTTGAATAGGGTTAACGGGGCTAAGCTTTATGTTATTATGGTAAAGTGATTTGGCAGCATGAATAGCTTCTGCTGGTCCAGTGAAGTTAACTACCTTTTCAGCATTTTCATCGACTGGCGCTCTTAAATTATCAAATGGACCTGATTACATAAATAAAGGATAAATGAGAGAAATACGATGGAAAATAATTAACACAAGGTAATAAAATGAATTGAATGGATGAAAAGGTTAAAAATAATGGCTATATCAACATAAAAATGCAATCTATTAAATAATTGAGTGAATACATTAGCTGCATTTGAACTTTGGTGAGACTCTTACCCTGGAGATTTTTTGGTGGTGGGTCATATCTGGCTGGACTAGAAGGATTACTTTCACTAAAACTATCCAAGGTACTAATTGTATTATTACTTTGGATGGGACTTGATGTGGCCAATCGACCTGTTAAACGACCAGCCATCTTAAATTTGTTGAGTGATGATTGTTTGGTTGAATTAACAGACAACAAATGTTTATCCATTGGAATAGTGTAAACTGATGATTGTTTTTGGCCATTTGACTCGTTTGGCGCGGTGAATGATTTCCGAGTGAAAAGTGGATCACCATGTCGACTATCCAATCGCACCTTCCTAGATTGAAGGGCTAAAAGAAATAAAAATCACATTAATAATATCAATAATTATCATTTATAGAAAGTAAACAATTCTTATGGTAAACAATAAAAGACAAGACACTGCAGCCTTCCAAGCCAAACAAAGGGATGATTCAAATGTCATATTCTCCCATTTTTCTAGAAAGTTACCTTGCTTAAAACTTAACTGCTTTACGCCCAATTAAACCGATTTTAATTTTCTCCTGGTTGTGTTTGTGCATTTAAATGTGAATTGTTAATATTAACCTTAAATTTGTTAATTTGTCTTCTACTGAATTCTTGTATCTACGTTTGTCATTTTCAGAAGCTAATAATACAAAGATCATCAAGTCTTTTCAGCCATAAATCAACTCTGGATCTCTTGCCATCTTGGTTAGACAAACTAATCCATCACAGTCTTTCTTTATCACTTAATTTAAAGCTAATCACGATTAGTGTACTACAAATTATTTTAAATCAACATGTAAATTAGCTAATAAGCCTTCCAGTTTCTCTCTATGTAATCATCTGTATGAATTTGAACTACCAATGTTGCCCTAAATAACTTCTAGGAGAGGCAGTCAAGTCTCATGAAGATCTAACTTTAAACAATGTTTCTGGCTAATTGTTATGCGGTTGGTTGATTAAATGTGTTACAAGCTAACAGCTTGTTTGATGTTGCTTACTATTGTTGTTGATGTTGTTGAACCTCCTCTTCAAGCTGATTATTCAACACAATTCACAGAAATGCGTGAGTAAACAACTAATTATTAATTATTTAACTTGAAATTCCATTTTTCCCATTGTCACAAGCCTAGTAAAGCAATCCCTTGATTAATTAAAGCTCATGATTCATTTATATTAATTAGTTAATTTATGTTATCTAAGTGTAACTTTGTATTTTGTAAATTCATGTTAGATTCACAATAAACTAAACGAATCACCTGATGTATCATTAGAGATAAGCTCAGATCTTAGCATTAAATCAATCTGTACCTAAAGCATTGATAATTCATGACTAACATTAAATCAGTTGATTTTATGGTGATAATCCTGAATCTATCAATATAGCATTTTATAAACCGATTGAACAGGTTAAATTCAACAGATTCATCAAATGTTGATCATTGGATAAAATATCGCTCAATTTGACTCTATTTTTAAGCTTCATGTATTTCATGAATAGCATGTTGTTTTATTGAACTCTTGTTAATTATTTTCAATCATAACTCTCACAAATTAACAGTTGTAATTTCATGAGAGAGTGTGAAAGACTCTTGGCATCATTTATTTATTGCCAATTTAGAGGTACTTTTGTAATTTAGTTCATGCTTCTCTGTCAGCGATATTTCAACTGAACAATTGTCAACCATTAAACAAAATATACAATAACTTGAATTATTGGCTGTTAATGGTAGCAATTATTGCCATGATTATCACACAAATATTTCGTGACAAGTTCAACCTGAAAAATTAAAGGCAATCTCATTTGAATCTATTCATGTCTCTATCAGCCTGACTGAAATACAGTAAACCGTGATTGTTTCAGGCCTTAAAGAGTTAACCAAATCAGGAAGAGATGCTTGAGATTATTCTTGTGCATTTTGATTGTAACTAAATTTTCAATAAATTTTAAAATCTAATTGTTCTTACATTTTTTCAGGCAAAGGTAACAAAAGATTAGGAAAAACAAAGCTGCCAATGTTGCATTGAAAATGATTGCCACCAACCAAAAAGTATTGATTTGATTTGCCGTTGTAATCCTGTTGATGGACGATACTGTTGTCACCGATGAAGACGACGAGGATAGATCATTGTTTTGAACCATTCTCAGGTTAAACCCCGAAGATGGTTGACTCTTTATACGCCTTCCAGATTGAACATTATTGGTTGATGCCGTTGATGGAGATGATGCTGGTGATGAAGAGGAAGATGTTGATGTTGATGCTGACACAAGGGAAGTGCTGATAATGATTAAAATGATGGGACACATTAAATTATAATGATTATATCTTGAACCAGATGACAATTTACTTGGTAATGATGGCGATGAAAATACAGATGATGAACATAAGGTTGAAATTATTTTCAAAGTGGCTGACAAGTCAGTGCGGTAATGAACTGAAGTGTTTATTAACTTATGATGTCCACATCTATTAACAACAAAAGAATTAACAATCGTAGTGATATCAGTAACAACAACTAAATTAATTCCTATGGGCATTTTAATTACACTTCCATTCGTTAAACAATTGCAACGGGAATCGAGATGATCTACGAGGAAACATATTGTTGAACCAAGGATCGAGCTGATAAAATTAAGAGTGGATTCATCTTGACACTTATAAACACTCGACTGGTGCAAGTTCATAATAGGAGTAACAATAGCGGTAAAAGGTGGACACTAAGCGTAACAGTCGATTCAAGTCATTCATCGATTCGACCATTAATCAAATCATTTCACAAATTTGTAAATAACACCATGAAATCACCTTAAACATCAATTCATTGTAAGCACAAAAATGAAAGCCTCTGGTTGTTGCTCCATAAACTTGTCCAAGGAATACAATTGATATCAATTAAACGGCAGTGTTGGTCCATTAATTATATTGAATTTTAAGTACAAAATTTAATAACAATTTTCTCTTATTTACAGATTGATTAAAGTTGGTTGGTACAATTTTCAATGGATACATTTAAATTCAATCAAGTGGACAATGTTTTTTCCGTACAAATCTAAATTGGATTGATATTTTGAATGTTAACATTTACCATAAAACAAAGGCTCACTTTTGTCCTCCTTTCACTTTCTTTCTCTCTCTTTCTCCTGCTCATCCACCCTCTCAAAGATGACCATATTATATCAATTATCCTTTATTGTTCAATGGAGAACTTGATAGTCAACCAAGCATCAAATTCTGACCGCAAATTCTGACATGCTCTTGGCCCTATCTCTTCATGATCCAAGTTTCACTCTTTCTTGGTAATGATAAGACTTTCAACCTGATTCAAGTATATTTTGATGGTTACAATGATGATTATTGAAGGCACATAACGAAACTACAGGGTCACTTGCAGCATACAACAAAGAAAACCAGAATAACATTATCTTGAAATTAACCAGTTTTGGGTTCAACTGTTTGAATGATATTTTACAGCATCGGTTAACCAGGAGACCCTGTACCAATCAACCAGACAAGACTGTACATCGAAATATAAGAACCATAACCATTTAGCTGTTTTGTATTGAAGTCGATTCTTATTGGTCACGCAAATGAATGCTTAAGAGTTAAAAGCTGTCAAGTTGATTGTTCCCTATCACATTTGAACAAAAGAGGATGATCATGATTATGGTCAAATTAAGAATTGAACAACAAGTAAACAAAATCTTTGATTTAGATGGACCATCAATCATCATATGTTTACAATATTTCAGTTGATTTTGAAGGAAACAAATCAACATCGAATAGTGTTTTCCCTCAATTCTGGCAATAACTACATTTGTTTGGTGAAATCGTTGGAAATGTCATTCAATATTATCAAATCATTCAACTTGAGGTCACCACAAAGCTATTTACCTTAATCCAGTCCAAGAGTTTATCCTTTATAAAATCATCAGAAATTAAAAATCTTCAGATGAATGTAGATTAATTATGAATTGAGTTTAATCTATTAATAATTGGTATATTGAGACTTGTCCATAGCTTGACCATATTGCGTGTTATCTTTGAAGTGTAAATTGATCAAAATGACAAATTATAAAATAATAGTTAATCACGAAATCGATCAACTACTTAACCTTAATTTTAACAATAAACCAAACGGTAAATGATTATTTACGAGACTCTTAACCAGAGATGAGCTTAATGTTCATTTTAAAACTTGACCATTGAGAGGTAATATTGGTTATGAATAGCCATTAAACCGTTAAACAATTAAAAAACAAATAAAATTAACTAATCATAATCAAGCATAAAATTAAAATCGTTTAAAATAATATTCAAAGGCCTAGTTTGAGCTGCAATTTTGTCCCTTCAACGAGGTTACAATGAAACGAGCTTTAATTCAATCAACTTGAAACATACAATTACAGAGTGTTTTATGTTTGAAAGGATAACAATTTAGGTTTCCCTTTTTTATTGGTAATAATTATATTATAATAACAGTTGAATGATGTTCATGATGATAATTATTTGGATGATTTGAAGAGAGGTCAAAAGATAACAAATTAGTCCAACAAGAAAAGGTAAAGACACAGAAAAATAATAAAATTACATAGTTGTTTAAACGGTGATAAAATAATGATGATCCATTGGTCACAATACATATCTAACAATTATTATGATAATTATAATTATCTAATGAGGATTAAATCCATAGGATTGGGTTATTGCAGGAGGAGAACCCAAAAAAATGGTTCACCTTTACTTTTTTCATGTTGTTCATTCAGGTTGAGTCCAGATGATATGCTCTAATTATCATACAATTTTGATCATTGTTTCTTGAGAAGTGACGACTACACTCAGTCTACATTTAACTAATTAGCTTTCCTTCCCTACATTCACCAAGATTAACCAATTAACTGGGACTGATTTGTTAAACATTTCAAACAATTTATCCCGTACAAACCATTGTCATTGTCAGATCAATTTGCATGTAACCACAAATTTATGAATTAAGGTTGACATATTACAGATTTCAGACTCTGGTTTTTCTGGTTACAACCTTTAGGTTTTAGGCTCAACCGATTTCCAAGTCTACCGAAATTAAATAACTACAATCAATTAATCGGAGCCATCGATTAATCTTTAATTTTTAAAACCTAAAAATTGAAGCGAAAGATTTTACCCAAAAATATTAACCCCAAAATACAAATGGATTAACCAAATTTACCCAAAAACCTAACTCAGAATCCTATTCAATTGACAAAATTGAAACTCATATATCATTGTAAACAATTAAACTTGTAAATTCAAATTAGTCTGATCATGATTTAAGTCGATTAATGGTCAACTCAAAATCTGGGTTAAACATAATGGACAATTTTAACAACAGTTTGCTTCATCTGACCATTTACTCGCCTTTTTCATTAACATAGAGACATAATTATCTTTCCTATTATAATATTTCACCTTAATGTTGTTAATTAAAGTTTAATTTAACCTGAAAGAAAAAGTATGATTAGAATAATTAATTTAATGTAATTTTAATTGCTAGTCGCAAGAGTTTCAAACAAAACAAGTTTAAATTCAGTTTTTTTCACCATCGGAATGAAGAAATGAAAATTTATAGACATTTGTAAAACACAGAATCAGAACAATTAGAATGAAAAAAAGTAAATTGATTAATTGCTGGTAATAATTGCAATGATTCAGTTAAACAAATGAAGTAAAGATATTTGGAAGCTCAAGAGTTGGTTCATCAAACAAATGGTCAGCCTTGGTAACTAATCATCTGATTAACTTTAATTATTAATAAATGGACACAGGTCTTTTACACACAAGCAAAGACCTTATTTTAACTTCAATCATATTATCCTATTGAATGCAATTAACTATTCTAATCACGTTTAAACTGGAATGAATTTCAAAATTACATATTAACTTGGTAAATTGTGTTGATGGAAATGATAATTGTTGAATTAACTGGCTATCTTTTGTAATAAATTGAAAGGTAACCAAGTTAAAGATGAGCTCAGTCAAATTAGATCAAGGTTAAGAGTGGACATTCTGGTTAACCAGGAAACCTAGAAATTTTTAGGTTCGATCATCAAATAACATTGAAAAACCAAAAATTATGTGCAACTTATTGTTATTCATTGTCAGAATGAATGAGGTTCTGATTTTAGACAATTGAAGTGCTGAACTGACCTTTTCTGTCTTAGAGGCCAAAATGCATTCAAAAATCGCTTCAGTTATTTCCCTTTCAGTCCGAAATACGACGCTACTTTGATCTTAACAAATGATACTCGGATGAAGCCAGATCAGGGCAATAGTTTGGTCAATTTTTCAGCTGTACGTTCAAAATTCAGACCATTTCGATGAGTAAATTAAGGTTTTTTTCGTCGAATTTTGAGACCTAAAAATTCATAATTTATATCGTATTGATAAAAATATGAAATTATCGAAAAATACATCTTGGGACACTTGTCAACAAGATGGTCAAAAATGTCTTTTTATGCTGCTTATGAGCTTCAATAGCTTTCAGCAAGTTCAAATAATGTCATTAAATGAAAAATGTCGGGATTCTGACTTTTAAAATCGCTCTATTCGGACTTGTGAATATTAATTCATTTTAAATTGTAGTTGCGAGTTAATGGTTAAGAGCTGAACCCAAAAACCTAAAGTTGTCCACGGTGGTCACTCCATCTTTTACCGATTAAAGTAACTATCAACTCTTTGTTGATGATTTTCATTTGAATTTTTGAAATTTAATTAATTCGCTTATAATTAACATTTAATAAGTAAAAATCGATATAGGTTGTAGCTATTTTTAGGCAGAAAAAATGTGGTTAGAGTAGTTAGAGTAAATTATGACGTATCAGTTCGACTTTTACGTACTTTCGTGTCCAATGTCTCTGAATATTCCTCGCTGGTAAACTTACAGCGTTAGGTGTCTGCTGAAAACCAATGGACAACAGTATACGAAGCTCAATTTTTCCTGATCATTTTTTGCCACCGACTTTACAATTTCCTAAGTTAATTATTTATTTAATCATTGATATTTTTTCATTTGACGCATTTCATATAGCCCTGCATTATCACCAACAGCAATAAATGATTTCAATAAACATTCGCACCAGCAAATCATCAACAATAATTACCATTTCTTGAACATTTAATCTGAATGTAGCTGTATCGCTGCAGATGAACAAATTATCATCTTGTTACAGACTTTTGCTTTGAAGCGAAGCGTCATCAATTATTTCTTCTGACAGTTATATTTGCTAATTACAATGGTCCTGGTGTTGTCTCTGATTGATTGTTTGCACAATTTTACGTTTAAAGTGTCAAATTTTGTTTTGCTAAACCAATGATGACGCACAAAAATCAAAAAGGGTGACACTGAAAAGCAAATACGGTATTGAACAATTATTCAGCACCAAACTGTAAACCTTACAGTTACATTCCTACCTAATCAGTTACATTGTAAGCCTAAACTAATTTAAGGACCCACATAATTAGTAATTAAATAAATGTTTGGAAATTAATTTCCTTCATTAATTTGACATTTATGTACTACTATTGGTGTTTTTTGGCTCCAGGAAAACACGTAAAAATATTGTTTAAATGATTAATGAAAACGCTATTATTTTTTATAAAACGAATGCTTTAATAGCACGATGTAAAAGCGTTCAATTTGCTTATTGCATTATACTTGTATTTTGCAATGAGTAAGATGAAACAATTAATCTTTGTTACAAGATTACAATTGATTAACATCTCAAATGTAAATTATTTTTGTCTATTTATACGAATCAAGTAATCCTCGAGGTTAAACTGACATGAACAAATGTGAAAGGTAACTTTGAACAATTGATAAAACCATTTTGACCATCTTGACTATTCCAGGCGTTCCGTAAGGGAGAGCAGGCGAAATTTAATTCTTAATTCATCGGGAACAATGTCTGGTCAAAACGGGTCCAAAGCATACAGTCAATTGAATCCATCAGCGCAATCATAAGAAAACAGTCTCGTTCTGATCAGTCATGGGGCAAAAGATACCAGAAAAGGATCATTCATTGGCATTTAATATTTCTGGTTCCCAATCAAAACTAACTCAAGTCGATCTCAGCTGCATTTATCCATGAGTTGCCATCATTTTTTTGAACCTCCAAAAAGTTGAGAAACGAGTTAAAATGACAAGTCTTTGAGTATCATGATAATAAATACATAATTTAAGACAGATCAAGGATTCCGTCTTAATATCAGTTCAATAAGCAGGTGAAACATCAGGACTATCAAATCAAATTAGACGTGATAATGAGTCTACAACCGGTTCAGGGGAAATGTATTTGTCTAGTTAATGATCAATTGACAATTAGGACAGGGAATTACTTCGGCTGGTGCGATTGATGAAAACTGTGGATGTTGATGAAAAATCGTCCATTTCATGGAGGCCCATTAGCGACACTTTTGTCAATCGTTTTTTATTCAGGTAATCTCTCGACAATTCCAATACCAATTCTGGTTTACAAAGGTTTCATTAATCTACATACAAGAATGAAAATTGACAGTTTTAGAGGTTTAAGGTGACATTTTTTTGGTGGTTTTTTAACAAGCAATTCTTGTTTCAAGTTATTCAAAGGCAATGAGATCTTCAGTGCTTGAAAGGCTTTAAAATTACAGGGCATCTCGACTCACGCTCGCTTGAATTGAATTATTGGTCATCATGAATTGGCAGTGAACTCGGATTGTTGAGAAATCAGAGTTGCATAAATTCATTCTTTTTCATTTCTTTCTCTTTCTCTTTTCAAGTAGGTGTTCAATATGATCTGTATCTGTAAAAAAGTTGATCTGCTAATTCAAACAAAATGTGAACTCAAATGCCCTGTAGTAATCTTAAGAAAAGGGGGGTGAAAAATGGAAACTAAATTTATAAACAAATCAGCTAAAATTAACTCCTGAATCAATCAGAAGATTAATTTTAGCTGGAACAAAAAATCCTATTGAATGACTCTAATTTTTTGTTTTGTATATGGTAAAATAAATATTTTAAGATGGGTTAATAGTTTTAAGGAAAGGATTTGAAAACGAAAATTTATTAAATTGATGATTAGTAAATAGCAAGTTTGATCAGACTATTCAGATAAAACACAGATAGAGAGAGTGGGGTAGGAAAAGAAAGAGAGAGAGAGAGAGAAAGAGAGTGAAACACATTGTCCAAGCAGTGTTGCTTTTCGTTCACATGTTATAAGATGATACAAGTAAAAGAGAGATTGATTTACTATTGCGGAGGATGGGGTAAGCGACGACGAGTCAACCAAGTATGTTTTAGAGCATCATGAGGTGTCATTCGTAATTCAGGATCCCACTCAAGACATTTTTTAATGAAGTCAATGAAATGCTCATCGTCACAGCCTTTCAATGCCGTTGACCAGTCTCTTGAGCCTGGAGGTCCTCGTATCTTCCCACGTCGGGAACGTCCCCCATTGAGTAATACAGTTCCATCAGAGAGGGTTGTCGTTGAACAGTACCGGGGATAACCTTTAGAACTAATAAATCTTTTCACTCTGGACGATTGTTTTAACAATTTTTCTGGTGGCATACCAAGTAATTCAATAATACAGGCTAATTGATCATCCTCATCTTCACCAGGTAAAAGAGGAGATCCGGTTGCTAATTCAGCAAGGATACAACCAAAGCTCCACATGTCAATAGGCATACCATATTTACAGCCCAAAATAACCTCAGGAGCACGGTAAAATCGGGATTGAATATAAGTATAAACTCTTTGAGTTTCAAAGCAAGAAGAACCAAAGTCGATCACTTTAATTCCGCTTCTTCCTTGTTGCTTGAGAAGTACATTTTCAGGTTTGAGATCGCAATGAATTATCTTATTATTGAACAAGGCTTCCAAACACCTTAAAATGGAGTATGCAAACCGACGGACTAATTGTATGCTAAAACCTTGGAATTTGTTTTTCTTGATTAACTCGTATAAGTTAACACTGAGAAGCTCAAATGTAATACACATATGATTCCGGAATGTAAAGTTCTCGTACATATGTATTATATTCATTGTATTATCCTTATCTTGTTTCCGTAGATGGTCAAGAATACGGATTTCCTCTTGAGCTTGTCGATGGAAACGTTTCTCATTTCTAACCATCTTTAAGGCTACATGCTGTTGAGTTTTGTGATCGTAAGCCTTTATGACTTGTCCAAAGCTACCTTTACCGATTATTTTTAACATCTCATAACGGTAACCGATATGATCGTGAAGAACATGAAGATAGGAACCATGTTCGTCATCAAAACCACAATTATTTGGAGCCCCAATAACACTATATCGTTTCTTGGCATTTGCACCGATGAAATAAATTTGAGAGTAACCAAATATTTCATGATGCTCATAAGCTGAAAGTTTATATGAATACAGTTTCATCACTTGTTCAGGTGTGACCACTAAAGGTTTAGTTTTACCCTTATAAGGTACTAAACCAACTAAATTGGACGTTGATCCGTTCCCATTATTGTATTTGTTGAGACAATTATTATAGCTTTGCTCTTCATTCTCTATATCTTGACTGGGTGTTGACTGTGAATTATTACCAATAGTATCATTGGTACCATTAGAACCGTGAGATCCACTGGATCCATTGGAACTTCCATTATGGGTTCCATTTGAGTTACATCCATTATCATTTACATCGGGTAGCCCATTATTTACTTGGGCTCGAGGCAGTACAATATCACCTTGACCATGCATCACAACCGACATGTTAAAACCATTGATCAAACAATCTGCTTCTGCTGAGGAGTAGTCACCATTATCGGAGACACCATTATTATCACTGATATTGTTCAATCCGTTGGTTGAACCTTTGTAAGATGAGCTTTTAATTGGCGGTAATAAACCGGAACTTGTATTACAATTTGAACCTACCATAGAGGAACCATTTTTATCTGAAATTTGAGGTAAAAATGGACCACTAGTTGATCCATTCATGTTGGTCATAAGCGATCTTGCCCGTGAAAAAGGCATTTTCTTGAACCAAATTTGACTCTTTTTATTCCTTATGGGTTGTCCTATTTTTTTAATCCTAAAAATTTCAATTGTAAAGGTTGATGACGAGTTTGATTAAAAGTTATGGTGGAGAAATATGTAAAGATGTGAAAAGTGAAAATGAAGATAGTGAAGACGATGCAGATGAATAAGATGAAAATGATGAAGATGATGAAGATGACGATGATGAAGGTAAAAGATGATGTTGACTGTCGATGGATTTAAAGTTAGTACCAAAACAATTGATATTAGAGTTATCAAAATTACACAAGTATTCAGTAGATTGTATTGTGTTGACTTTAGGGAACACCATATTTAATTGTTACTTCTTTTTTCGTAAAATATTTACAACTCATACGTGTATGATGTGTGTATGTGAGAGTTTTTTGTTGATGTTGATGGTTGAAGCAGGGCTTGAATTGCAAGCAAGCTTGGATTGGCAGTCTGAAAAAAAGAAGAAAGAAAGAAAACCAGGTTACAAAAGAGAGTAATACTTGTATACAGAGTGTGTAAAAAATTTGGTGGAGGGTGGGTGGGGAAAATGTTGTGTAGAAAGACAATCTCTACTTAAAGTAAACGAACCCATTAATGTCAAATGCGCATCAAGTGGGGGCTGCTTTCCCTCTCCTGAAAACTTTACACACACTCTGTATGTGGTTATATCTATAAGACAGACATGATATTTCGGATAAAACAGAATATCAGAAAAAAGAAATTAAAAAAGCAAAATAGAAAGGCAGAGAAGAAAGATAAAGAAAGAGATGAAAGAAAGACTGAGAGAAGTAAAATAGAGGAAAGAAAGAAAGAAAAGCAAGACAGGAGAAGACAGCAGTTTATTCAACTTTGTTGAACTCTCTTTCTGTATTATCAACTCTGTCTAAACCTTTTTTCTTCCGTATATGCGCATCATGGAAACCCTGAACACTGAACTGAACAATCTGAGGGAACAACAATCTGAATTACACAGAATAAAGATGAAGCAAAAAGAGAGGAAGATGAAGATAGAGAGGCAGAGAGAGAGAGAAAGAGAGAGGAAACAAGAGATATAAAGAGATGTTAATTGTTATAACCTTCAACTTACCATAATTTGTAAGCTATACTTTGCCAGTTAAAAACCATTGACTCCAAGTAAACGCAGTCCAGCTTTGATTTTGGTGTCAATCGAAAGTTGATGATGTACTAACGTCTTCTAAAAAAGTCTCAACAATCATATTAATCAGGTATTTCGGTTATTGGCCTTAAAGGAGTCAAAGGGAAATGAAAGGGGAAAATAGGATCAACTTTGCTCCATCAACAATTGTGTTTACATTTTGAGTGAGCTGGAATGAGCCAGGATTCAATAAAGACAACCGGCTAATTCAAAAAATCAAACTCTCATTTATTTATCAATCTCGTTAATTTAACTTTAATCAGTTTGACTCAGAAAAAAGCCAACTTTAAAAGCATCTTAATTTTATTTACTCTCATTCATTTAATTTAATCTATCTTAACAATCGGATAAACACTTAATAATTTAGAGAGAGAACTCTGTTTCTTAAACCAAAACGCACTTAATCATAAACAACAGTTGCAATTGTTTTACCCAATTATTTTATGGGTTAATTTGAACATTATCATTACTATTATCTGGTTGAAAAAAAAGCCATTCAAATGTATATTAAAATGCAAATTTGTTTAGGTAAAAGCAGAAACCAGAAACCAGAAAAAGTAAAAAATTGTAATAACAAGGTTAGACTCAACTTGACCCTTCAATTGCTTCCATAAAATAATTAATCCAAATCATCATCTGACACAATTAATGAAAACTGAACACAAGTGTAGATCAATGGAAATTATCTGGAAATTTCATGCTACATGTAGTTTCTATTAAAATAGAGATGATAACTCTGTTGATGAGGAGGAGGTTGATGAAGATAGCAAAAAAAAGGTGGAAATGATTTGAATCGAGGTTAGGTCACTGTCTCGAATGTTCATATAAATCGATGACCTCCTTTTGCTTCCAGAATTTGCTCACAATTTATCTCATCTTTGAGATTTCATGAACTGGTAAACAAAATTGATTAAACAATAAGACTAATGAATTGAAAATACCCGCTAAAAACGCATACAAATCTGACAACAAAACCCAAAATTAAAACACAACCCAACCAAGCAACCTTTTAATCAACCCAAACATTATCAAAAGTCAATCTTGACATTGGGAGTTGAAAATCACTCCCAGCATAAATTAAAATCATAACATCATTACCCGAGTCTCCTAACAACCCAAACAAACTACAATTGGCAAATTAATGATTAAAAGACAATTGAATGGTGAGAAGAAGGCAAAAAGAAAACAAAATTTATCTTTAATCAATAAAAATGGCGCAAAATGAAATAAAAAAAAACAAGCTCAGCTTTTGAAACTTGAAAAGGCGAAAGCAAAGGCAAATTTGAATGTTAGCTTGAAAATTGCCAGTAAAAGGCAAATTAAAGTACAATCTTAATCATTTGAAATTGAATAGAGACGCAAACGACTGGGAATTTTGATTAAATCAATAAATTTATTGATAATATGATATACTTTTACCTCGACTTGGTTTTACCTTATCATCATTATCATCATCCTAATATACCAGAAGAGATGGGAAGCTTCAACAGATCATGGCGATCAATAATCTTGAGCATGACTGCTGACCCAATCAAGCCCAAATTTGTGGGACAAAAAGCCTCAACTCGAAGGAAAGACAAATGGAAAGAAGAGAAAAAAACCGAGTTTATTCTCTTTCTCTTTGGCTATCATCATCATCATCCAAGTCTGAGTTCATTCCCTTTCATCATCATCCAAAATCTTTGCTTCATCATCCTTTTTTTACTTCCTCCTCCTTCATCTTCCTTCATCATCCATTATCTTCCTTCCTTCTCCCTTTCCCTGTCCACTTATCAATGGAAAGTTTATCTTCTCTTTCCTCCCTTCTCTGTCTGTCTCGTTCCTTATCATCTTTAACCTCTTCCCTTCTCATCTCTCATCATCTTTTTTCCACCGGTTCTTCAATCCTCATGTCAAGGGCAACCTTTTTTCACTCAAATTCATTTCATAGCCTAGTTTCATGCTCGTCTTTAAAACTCTTAATCATTCCCATTCAACCTTTATCACCATCGCCATCATCATAATCATCACCATCATAAATATCATTATCATAGACAACATTATCTTTAAAAATAATGTTAACCAGTTTTTGGGTCTTTTTTCAAGTAAAAATTTTCCATTGCTCACAACCAGGCAAATGTAGTCTATTCAGATGATATATTTTATTTCATTTTTATCGTCTAATCAAATGTCAAAATTAATGGAAAATTTGATCCAAATGGTTTCTTTTCATTGTAACAATTAAACCAAAGCATCTATTTTTGAATACAGTTTGGTATTGACTTAGCCCTTAAAGATAACCATTTGCAAAGACAAACTGTTCAAGTCGAGATCGAGATAAATTTTACAAAAACAAATATTATATTCGAAAATTGCTTTTCTTTATCGTTTGGTTTCAATGTTTTCACTTGATAACCACAGCCAGTGAATTGAGTGCAACCCGAAAGCATTTAAAGGTTAGAGTCGCATGAAGGCAGAAATGAAAATTGCAACATTTCATGATTAACATTTGAATGAATACAATTTTCACTAAAAAGCTCTGAATCTCTAAATTTTGAACCTCATTTTGTCCTCATCCTTTGTGATAAAACAAGATAAATATATCTAAATTGAAGACTAAAATTGGTGTTGCTCTTATTGTTGCAGTTCAAATGAGCATTTGTTGTACGACTCAATATGCCAACAATTAACGGCAAATTTAAATGAACGTGTTATTAAGTGAGACCAAAATTGGATCAAATTGTTTCATCCTGTTTCATCTTGTTCATCACCATTATGATCATGTTTTTTGGTGTAAAAACTGAAATTGTAAATATTATCTCAAGTAAAAGGTTCAATGACCCATGAAAAAAATATAAGGTTATGAAAATAAGTTCAAGATGAATACTGATGAAGGTAAAGGTAAATGTAATTGCCATTAATAATGTCTACCTTGATTGTTGAAACCAGAAAAAGGAGAAACAATTGTAATGTATGAGAATTGGTTAGGATCAATGATCGGTTGGTATTAAATTATTTTTGGTAAATCATCAAACAGATTGAAAGAGACATTTTTTTGTTGTTGCTCACTTTTACAATGAAACTGTTCATTTTGTGTTCCGTTTCATGAAATAATATCATCCTAATCATCATCATAATAATGATAATCACTTTTCAGCTACCATAATTTTCACGGTCTTCAAAGTATAAAATTATCAAGACTATCGAGAGTATTTAATCATTAATGAAAGCTAATATCATTTGACCAACAAAAGGTTAAACCTAAAACAAAACAAGGTTAGGACCAGAATTTGTAATGAAAACCAGAAATGCCTTCTGGTTTCATTGACTTTTCATTGTTTTTTGGTTCACCAGTTTTGTCGAGTTGAAGGCGAATTTAGGAGTAAATCAATGATAATTATTTAACATTTCAAGATTAATTGTGATTTGTTTGTGGTTAATGCCTTTGAAAGGTTGAGGGAAAAGGAAGGGTAAAGTGATAATTGTTGATTTGGTAAAAGAGTAATTTCAATGCAATTAAGATGAAATTCAATTGTAACTTCAAGTCAATCTTCACAATATTGGATTATCATCAATTCAACCAGATTTTCATTGCCATTTGTAAATCATTTTATGGTCAGTGTGAGTCTAAAACGGAGTCAAAGTGACTTGCTGTTTTTTGGGTTAAACCCAAAATAGATTCAAGTTTGAAAATGTTTATCCATTTGTTAATCTTAAACTGGTTAATCAGGCAGCAAAAGGCTGTTAAAGTTACTTTAAAGTGAGTAATTGTCGTTGCTAATTTACAAATTGGTATAAATCTATTTTTTGTTTTGTTTAATTAGCTGATTCCCGGCGTTTCCATGTAAACTGAACGGCAGCAGAAAAGTCAACCTTTTCATGTTCCTATTGATGGCAAGCAACAGCGGAAAAACTGAGTTAAACTTGCAGAGGTGTTTAAAGGTTTGGCAATGACGATCATGATGATGATGATAATCATGATAATACAAAGGAAGAGAAAGGGAAGTAAAAAAAATCAATGTTACGTAAGTAAATTTTGTTGATCCTTTGCTTAGTGAATGAACAGCAACAACCCAAAAGGCGTACAATTGTTCATCATCAGAGACTATCAGAGTTTTGATTAAAAGTTGATATTTTGGTTCAACAGTTTATCTTAATGATGATGATAACATGATTAGCATGATAACTCATCATGAAAATGAGCCAGAAAATAGGAGAAGAACAAAAAGTGTAGCCAAGATTGAGTAAAGGGTTAACCAAGGAAAACAGTTGAAACTGTTGCTTCTCTCAACGAACAATGACCTCTCCAGTTAACTTTTTATCATTACCATCAGTTTCATTCCAAGTTTACTCATTTCTCTTTCATTCCATTCAACTTTACCTTTCGTTTTTCGCCTCTTTTTTTTCTGTGAAACATTCTCAGTCAACTTTCTCTTACCTTGAAGATACATTTCATTATTTTTCATCTTCAATCTTCTTCTTTCTCTTTTTTCTGGTCTCTTTTCATCCTTTGCTACTCAATTCATCTGATGAACTTACAACTTGAACTTTCATCAGGAAAAGAGATGAATTTAATCAGATTCCAATTCTGCGCCATCTCAATCTATTCCAACCATTCTTCCCTGTCTTCATATTATCATCTTCTTTCGCCTTCGTCATCCTCATCATCTTTCTCTGACGATTATTAACCTCATTGGATCGATTCTCTTCCGTTTTTATCCTTCCCTTTGCTTTGTTGTCTTGCTTCCAGGCTTTGACCTGATTTCAGTTTCTTTTCCAGGTTCTTACTTAACCCATGGAAATAGGAAGAAACTGAAAGATGATTATGATGACAATGAAGATTGGATAATTATGCATTTGTTTTCATCCTTAATAGCAATGATCTGGGATGTTTGGGTGAACCAGAAGAGACAGCAAAAGTAAACAAATTAACCTGTTTTGCCTTTCACTTTGTCTTAACATTTCATCTTTTCGTTAATTTTTCTCTTACCTTCTAGCCCTTTAAGTTTACAATATTGATCCATTATCTCATCAAATTGTTTCATCAATAATAAACAATTTAAACAACAATAATGATTGTGTTATAAAGAAGGTTAATTGATACACTTTAAATATCCATTAAAAGGCGAATTGAAAGTTTATCTTTTTTCAAGATGTGAAAGTTGCATTAATAATGTTCAAATATTATCCTTTCAATGTTTCAAATGATTTATGTTCAACAATTTATCATCGTTTT